CAACGACTAAGCTTGCTATCTCCTCTGCTCAGTCCTGCTTCTCTCTTTTCCTCCTCGCTCTTTGGCATCCTGTGTGATCTTACGATCAGCGCAGATTCAGACAAAGCGGCTGTTTTTTAAAACACCTTTAAAGAAATAGGGAAACAGCTAAATACAAACATATGGCATGTGAAGAATGTAAGAAGAGACCTGCTGAGTCAGGCCCATGGCCCATCTAGTCCAGCATTCCTGTTCTCACAGTGGCCAACCAGATGCTTATATGAAGCCTGCAAGCAGGACCTGAGCCACAACACTGCTTTCGCCACTTGCGATTCCCAGCAACCGATATTCAGAGGTGCACTGCCTCTGATAGCGCTTCCCACTGATGTCCTTGTGGATGCTATCTGGTGCTATTACAGTAATTATTTAGTCATTGTGTATATAGGAAAGCAGCAATTTATAACCCACTGGATCTGGTGTGGAGTAAACAAGTTGTGGGTTGTTGCCTTTGAAGGGTGGCTATTAAAACACCTCAATCTTAAATGTGTTTGTAGAAGTACCTTTACTTTTTAGTGGAATTTACTTCCACCTTTTGGGCACCACCCAGAGGCCATTGGGCATGCCTAAGTCCCCTAGCTCAAGTACACAGTACCTGACCACGTATGCACACCATTCGAAATCAGTTGGCTTAAGCACACTTAACTGGTGGGTTGTTGTCTCAATTCCTGTTGGATTTCACCAGAACCTGTGAAAGTTTTAAGGTGGTAGCCAATCCCACTGGTTTCTTAGAGCGGTACTTCATAGTTAAGGCTACCTTTTTCCTGTTAAGCTCTCTTGAGTTTGCAGAACATCAGGTGTTATGCCACCAAATTGTAATGCTGCTTGCTAGCTCCAGAGAAACTCTTTAATCCAGAGGGACTCTGACAATAATCCCAGCCCTTTCCCAGTCCATGAAGAGATGTTGCTTGCCTTTTGTATTTCTGGTGTGCAAATGCAATCAAATGTAAAGATGGCCTCCAAAAATCAGAGAAGCACAGCAAGTTAAGTGCAACAGGTGACTCAGGTAATAATTTAATACTGGCATCTGCGGGACAGTTTCTGATGGCATCACCTAGAAGTGTTCATTTTGAACCCTTCTGTCCATAGGACACAGTTGACTATATTACAGTAGTTTATCTGCCTGGGGTTGGTAGTTTGATGTTGCTGACTTTGGACAGGATGGCTTTGAATGGACTACCATAAGTTTACTGTAGCCAACCTGATGTCCCACCTCAGATGCTGCGAACTACAACTCCATCAACCTTGACTGTTGGCCATGCTAACCGGGACTGATGGGAATTGTAATCTGCAACTTATGGAGGGCACTGTGTTGTCTACCTGTGCCTTAACCAGCTCTGTGTTCCTTTGAACAAAGGGAAAGTCACTGTCAATGTAAAATTACATGAGAAAGAACCAGCTATCTGCTATCTAGTGTTCATTGTCTCCATCATGGAAAAAGCATGAACATAGGAACCTGACCATTTTAACAAAAGATGGCAGGGCTTCAACCCTGCAAAGAAATCATGTGCTCTACTACTGCACTATAGCTCTTCATCTATACTATCAGTACCTTGCAAATTCCAGAAGAGTAGCCAAGTTTAGTCTTTTATAGAAACAACAAAGAGTCCCATGGCTCCTTAAAAGACCAACAAGGGTATTCCAACATGACCTTTCATAGACCCGGTATATGAATCTCACTGCTTAGTCATTCAAGCTGTCAAAAAACAGCCATTCCATCTTGACTGTACCTAGCTAGACCATTGGATGAACTGTATGGAGGAACTCAACATATTCCTTGCATTTTGTCCTCTGTCCAGTGTGTCTGCAAAGAAAGAAAGAAAGAAAGAAAGAAAGAAAGAAAGAAAGAAAGGTATTTTGGTCAAAGAGCACCACCCCCTTGGTGTACATATGATCTTTGCTGCCATCAATCACTATTTTATTCCCAAGATGCTGGCTGCAGAATAGAGATGCAAAAATAACTGTTGTTTCTTCTTTTTGTAAGATGCCTCTAAATATGTATGGTGCAAAATCCAAATGCAGTAAATGAATAAAAGTTTGTTTTACCTCATTCAGTCAAGTGTGTTTGTCAGCTGTTTTGTTAGAACCCACAACAGGACAAATCCCCTACCTCTAATCCCACAAGAAATCAGCCTCTACCTGAAGCTGGTTCTGAAGGTCTAATCTCCTCAGAAACACTGTGAAAGGGAACCACTTCTCTGTGTTCCCATCCCAAGGGTCCTCATTCACTTTTCCCTCTGCTTCTTGATGGAAGATTTGGGTGGTGTATCGACTGAAATAAAAATAACATTTTTGGCAATTCATTCATTTTTATTACAGAAATCCTTCCCCATAGCAATAAGTTCATCCTTCCCCAAATCTCTAAATTTTTCTTTATGTCTTTCCAAGTAGTTATATAATTGTCTTTAAAAACATTTATGTTCTTATCTGTCAGCCATACACCTAAGTATTTAACTTCTTTCCATAGATAATTCCATGGTTCGTTGTAAGTCTTTTTTATATTGCTCTGTCACGTTTTTCACCAAGACCTTCATTTTATTTTTATTTAATTTGAAACCTGCCACCTGACCAAACTCCTGGATCCTACCCAAGACCCTGGGTATGCTGCTCCTCGGGTCTTCCACAGTAATCACAAGATCAGCCACACCACCTTTCCTATGCCCCTTAAAATAGCCTGCTACCTTCTGTTGTGTTGTAGGACCCTGTCCCATCGTCAGTGCTGAAGGTTCAACTTACAGTCTGGTTGGTTTCTGCATGTGGAGTGCAGTTGGGAGGGCGGGTACACCACCATGTCCTTTGCCTCAGGTAGCATAACGTTTTGGGCGGTCCTGATGCAGTTATTATGTGTTGTCTTAAGCTGTAACATAAGAAGAGCCTGTTGGATCAGGCCAATGGCCCATCTAGTCCAGCATCCTGTTCTCACAGTGGTCCGCCAAATACCTGCAGGAAACCTGCAAACAGGACCTGCACACAAGAGCCCTCTCCCCTCCTGTGGCTTTCTGGCAACTGGTATTCAGAAGCATTACTCTCTCCAAGTGTGCAGTTTGAGCCCCTGACTCAAGCCTCAACACTCCATTACATCACAGTGGCTCACACATTGTGAGTGGCGCTGGCCATTGTGGCTTCAGAGGCACTGTAACAGCCAATCCCTTTTGTCTAAACTTTATTCTTGGCTGTCCACGTGCCAGTAAGACTATTTCAATTAAGAAAGGCCAACCTGATTCCCTGCTTTCCTCCCCAATGGCTGTGGATAGCAGAAAGCAACAAACCATAACTGTTGTTTGCACTGCTACTCTTGAAGGTCAATGCAGCCATGAATTTGGGAGCAGAGCAATGGATTTGGCTCAAATGGGCACCAGCACATGCTCTCGTCTACCAGTTGCAGTGAACAGAAGAAGAGAACTGCTAGATCCATCAATCCAAAAGCCCATCTAGACCAGCATATCATTCTCGCACTGGCCAACCAAACGCCTATGGGATACCCACGAGGAAGACCAGAGCATGAAGTGTTGAGGGCATCAGCTGAACCTTGCTCTGTGAGGCTTGGCAAGGAAAATAATGTTTTGAGGCAGCCCTTACGTAGGGCTTCTTAACCTGAGGACAGAACTCCTTTAGTCTCATCATTTCTTTCATCTCATCAGCACTACAGCAATGCAGTGAGGCACTGTCCCCTGCAAAGTAGTTTTTCCTGCCTTCCTCCCCTGCCGCAATATTATAAATAAACCACATTAAATGAGAAGCATATGTGTGTAGAGGTAGACATCTTACTCACACCATAGTTAACTTTCTATAACAATAGCTAAAAAGAGCATCAGAAAAAGCTGTAAGGTCATGCCTCCCACCCACCCTTGATGTAACTGAACACTATGGACCTTGGGCTTTCAAAAAAACATGCAACTGCATCCAAAGGTGAAGTGTCCTAGTTTTCACTGTATCATCTGGGCAGCTAGAGTTCAGTTAAATAAGGTATAAGTGGTGTTGTTGCTTGTTTTTAAAAAAAACAAACATTTGGATTGAAATGTGTATTACTTTGGGCTTTGAGACTGCATGTACACCCACATGCATGTACACCCACACGGAGGTTGCCTGTTGTGCTTGGTTTTGTACTTTCCAACAGAATTTATGCTTGCAGTAGAGTAGCTAAAGAAAGTAGGGATTGGGGGATCTACTGTATAGCCCTCCAGATATTCTTGGATTATGACTCCTCTCGTCATTCTAGATCTCTGACCATGTTGGTTGGGGACTGATGGGGAATTGGGAGTCCAACAGATCTCCTTACCCCTGATGTAAAAGAAGCTGAAATTACTCACTGCATATTAAACAGGCTTCCAGAGCTTCTTGGATATAAAGACTGACTTTGGAATCAGCCCCAATTCCCAGGTTTCTGGTTAAGATGCCATCCTGGTTTGGATTGTATATACAACTCATATAAGACTGAAAAATATTGTGACAATTCACGATGCATTTTCCTTCTAGCCTAACTATTGTTTGAAGACAATAGAAGTAGAAAATGATAAGGGGTGATACATTGTGTAGCTTAGACGGAATAAGTCTCTATGTTTGACATGTCCGGATCACTACTTGGGGTATTATTCTCCGGAAAGAATGCTTTTTAAAATGTATCCATTAGAAATTTTATGAACTGCTATCTCAAAAAAAATTTTTTTTTAATCCTAGCAGTGTACAAGTCCTATCTAAATATAAAAGTTGACTAAAATACATAAACCAATGTATAACAGAAATAAAACCATAATAAAAACAGATAAAATCAGTAAGACATTGAAAGCAAATATAACCTAACAGCGAAGTTTTCAGCAGTGCAGTGATGGCACCTGCTGCAAAGCTAGCAGGGAGCAAATCTGAAGCGTCACCTTTTGTTGCTGGACCCTGACTCCAGCTTCTTTAGTGAACATTTTGAGATAACAGCAGCTGGCAGCTTGGTGCAAAGTACACAGGCCACTTGTGTAGTGTAGGTACAGCACAAGCCGCCACAAGACGTCCCTGCGTACTCTAGCTGAAGCTCACCACCGTCAACATGTTCTTTGAGGACCACTGGATCGACAGTAGGTACATCTCTCTTTTTGAATATTTGCAGAATGTAAGAGATTGGTATGAGGTATTTTGAATGAGCTTCTTGCTTGCTTTCACCTTGAAAAGGGCAAAGTAGCATTCCACAGCAGACAACAGGAAGTGTTGATAAGCGTATAATTATCATTATTAAACTAATGGAATCTACAACTAGGTCTCAACAGCACAATTGAAGAGACCGGTGGTGAAATTTATTTGGGGAGGGGTCTTTACACAATAGTTAAGATTCTGGTCCTCATGCTGGTTAGGTTAGCATTTTCACAGCAAACCTCTAAGCATATGTTGTTAGGAGTAAGCTGCACTGAGTAAGTATATTTAGTAAGAACATTTAGGATTGCAATTTTCATTTGGTCCCATTGCCAGCCTATTCTTTTGTCTGGTGAGCAGGGAGAAGCTTAAATTCCTCTGACCCGAGGGTTTCTTTTTTAAATTCAGTTCAAGGAACAGAATATTCCACTATGGTTATGCAAAAGCATGGGACTACTTAGTAGCTCATTTAAGACTAGTATCTTGCTTGGCAAGCTTGTCTCTACTGCCGATTCAGTTCCAGGTTGAAACAAGCTCTGCTGGTTTACAGTGCAGTGGTACCTCGGGTTACATACATTTCAGGTTACAGACTCCACTAACCCAGAAATATTACCTCGGGTTAAGAACTTTGCTTCAGGACGAGAACAGAAATCGTGCTCCAGTGGTGCGGCGGCAGCAGGAGGCTCCATTAGCTAAAGTGGTGCTTCAGGTTAAGAACAGACCTCCAGAACGAATTAAGTACTTAACCCGAGGTACCACTGTATATGTCCTTGATATGCTTCACATTTCCACCACCTAATACACCTTCAACCCCTAACATTTTGTTACACAGTTAAGTGATCCCTGCTTTCTCCAAGTGATGGAAGGCCAACATTACAAAATTACAGGATTGTTATCTTGGATGAGAGAACCCTGGGTACTTAGGCACTGAGAGAATGCTTATGGGGTCTTCATTAAGGTTTGTTTTATTTACGAAGTATGTTGGAAGAAATAGGCCCATACAGGCATGACTAAGCGAAGCATGATATATCCCTTTATTTGCCCCTATTAACAGTTTAATAAGACAAATTCTTATGGGGGGGTATTTTTGTTTGTTACTATGTTATGTATTTTTGTGTTTCTATATTGTAAACTGCCCTATGATCGTAAGATGAAGGGCAGCATAGAAATTTAAAAAACAATGTAACAAATAAATTTGAGAGGTGCAGCTTTCTCCCAGAATGGGAAAATGGGGAAACACTTCCTTGACTGACTTCTGTTGTTAGGCAGCTAATCAAGGCACTAAAACCTTGTCAGGAAAAAAAACCAAGAGAAAACACAAATAAGAATAAGCAGCAGAGGACTTTTACTCTTATTCATGAAAACCAACTCAAACGATACCATAGGATAACAGCCGTATTGGAACAATTAGAATTAAGCACTGGCGGCTCTCCAAACAGCATCAATGCAAATGTTCAGAAAGGAACAGCCCTTCTTTTCAAGTTTTATTTTTGTGAAGTTGACAGTTCCTGGCAAGATGCAGTTCTTCCAAAGAGGAGGGACTTTCCCACAGTCAGAGTATGGCCATCCTGAAAGTCAATTAGCTTGTCCAGATGAATATATACCCAACTGCGGTTGCCCACTAATTAGGAGAGTCCAGGAAGCGGAAGCAGTCGCTTGCGATCTTCCACACTGTGCTGTTGTTTGTGGTCTGTGCTGTCAGCAAGAAGCTCTGGTTGAAGTACTGCTGCTCGTTCCCATCAAACTTGACGAACCCGTATGTCACGATCAGGATCGTGTTGTGGTTCTCTGTCGCTTGCTCGTGAACAGGCTGGCAATCAAAGGTGGTAATTTGAAAGTCGCTTGAAGGCAGCTTTTCGAAGAACTCCGCAAGGGCTGCTTGCCCAGAGACTGCATTCCCATTCCAAACGAGGGTCGCTTTGTCCTGGTAGAGTTTGGTCAGCGCCCGCCTCCTTTTATCCATGGTTTCATAGTAAATATTTGCGAATTCTTCCGCAGCTCGGCAAGCTTGATCCACATAGGTTTTAAAGTTCATCGAGGTGGCCATGTGGGCGGCGTCTCTCAGCGGCTGAGGCGGGAAAATAAGAGGCGGAACCTCCCTTCTCTTGCCCGCAAGGGTCCGGAATAAACCCGATTCCCTCAGTCCTGCTCGAGATTTGCTCCCGCGCTGCCCACGCGTAGCTCTCCCCTCCGCCGCGGCGCTTCCGCTTCCCTCCTTCTCAAATATCCGCGTTCCTTGAAAGCGATTGGTCAGGATTACGTTCTCTCAGTTCCCAATCCGGCGCAGCCATTGGCTTGAGAATCAAGGACGCCTCGCGGTCATCTCCCCGCCCCGCGCCCCTCCATCTCCGCCCTACTGCTGGCAGCCACGTCGAGCCCTCGGCTGCCCACCAGGCGACGAGGGCGCATGCGCGCTGCTGCGGTGCTGAGCTGTCCCGGTGACATGCTGGCAGGAAGTGGCGCCTTTGCAGGAAGTCGGAGCTTCAGGGATGCCCAGGGAGGCGCAGTCCACCTTAGTAGCCTGATAGCCCTTCTCGGGGTCCGCGCTCCTTGCCTCTCCCCTTGGCCGGGCTGGGTCGCCTGCCGGCCTCGGCTCTCAAGCTTCTCCGCGACCCCTGCAGCAACACAGGGACAGGATGCTGAAGAAGTTCGATAAGAAGGACGAGGAGTCCGGTGAGTTAATGGGAAATAGCAATTCATTTGTCGTCCCAGTTGGGCAGCAATGAAACTACTAAGCTAAGCAGGGTCCAGTATGGTTTCGAATAGGATGGGGAGCCGCCTCTTGAGATTTCTGCATTGCAGACAGTTGGGCTAGATGATCCTCGAGGTCCCTCGCAATTCTACGATTTATATGTGAAATTCTTCTTACATAGGAATTCTTTTAGGCATGTATGTTTTGATTGTTGAATTGCTACAAAATGCTTCATGGGAAGCGATTCATCAGATAAATAAAGGTGATCTTAAGGGAAGTGCATCTATATCTCTTGCACATCTTATTTTAATAAGGCCTGAAACTGTTATTATGGTCTTTCTGCGCAAGGTTTCTTTTGTTCAACCATAATATACTTTTACTGTACGGTGGTTCCGCAGTTGTATACTTTCCCAGTTCCATTTCCGTTGGAACATTTATCTACTGTTTTTGCTCCATCTCTCCTAATCTCTTGGGCCTCGCTTGGCAACTTATAAAGCCCTAGGCAAGCGCTCTTGGACTGTTTTAGTTGTACAGTTCCAAATGTGACATTAGGCAGTCTATAAATAAATAGTGCTTACATTTGACTGGTGAGTTTTTTGCAGGTTTGGAGAGAAAGCAAAATGACACCTTCTCCTTTCCTCTCTCTCTGTGTGTATAAGGCAAGTGCCTGTCGAAGGCTTTCTCTCTCCATCTTTATTTCAAATATCGTACAGCTTTGTTGATTGATGTCTGCAAGCCACCCTTCTTTTGAAACAATAGGGGTGCTCATTTTAGGGCAGAACCTTGGGTGGATGAGGGAACAGCTAATGAATTTGGTTGACAACTGAGTTTCTTTTGTGTGTAAGCTGTGAGTACAAAGGAAACTGCCTTATACCAAGCCTGACCATTGGTCAGTCTAGCTCAGTATTGCTGACTCTGGTGGGCAGCAACTCTTCAGAGTTTCCAGACAGAAGACATTTTCAGCTCTGATGGGAGATGCTGGGAATTTGAACCTGTTTTATTCTACATGCAATGCATATGCTTTACCGCTCAGCTATAAACTGTAGATGAGGCAGCTGCATAAATTTTATTTGTTTTGTTTTGTTTTTGGTTGTACACTTGCTTTTTCTTGCTTTTTCAGCAAAGGGCTGGGAAGTGGTATTTGAATTCATAGCATACGTATCAGAAATAGGGTTAATAGGTGTACCTATCTTGAGGTTAATAGCAACTGGGGGGAGGATAGAATTGAACCTGAGACCTTGTTCACACAAAGCATGTGCTCTGTTGCTGAGTTATGAGATCTTCTCCCATCACAAGTTTTTCTGTATGTAAGACTCTTTTATAGAGTTGGCAAATTTCCAAGCTTCTGGTTGCTCAAGTAGCTAAATATATCTAAACTTTTTGAAATACTTCCTTCGCTTTCACAGGGTTGGTTACAATGGTGTTAATTGCATATAGCTTTTCAGCCTCAATATACGGGATGACTTGTAGAGGTCTTAGCCTATCACATATGAGGAATTCCCAGATCTATATTAAAAGTTCTTTTTTGAGGATTCCAAGGTGATAAATATTCACCCCAGCAAAGTTGATGGTGGCTGAAATTAAGGGTTTCCAGCTTACATAGTGAAAAATCCTTGGTCGTGATCACATTTGATGTTCCTTTGTTGCAGGTGGGGGCTCCAATCCATTCCAACACTTAGAGAAAAGTGCTGTGCTGCAAGAAGTAAGTTCTTTAACAGTGCCGGTCTTTTTCTCAAGGAAACACATTTTGGCATATCTCTGAGATCTCATTCATTCATATCTTTCTTCCTAGGCTCGAGTATTCAACGAGACACCTATAAACCCTCGGAAATGTGCTCACATCCTTACCAAGGTTTTGTATCTCATAAACCAGGTAATGGGGAGACTTTTATTTTTTCATTTACAATGGTTTCTTGTTAAACCAGAACTTGTCTGCCTGTTAATGCTCATGAGCGGAGCTTGTGCTGTGCTGCTTGGAAGAACGGCTGTTTCAGTAGCAGTGGGTTGTGAATTGTCTTGGTAGTGTTTCCTTTCCCCCCTCCAGGCTGATGAAGCAGGTACTGTCATCAGGCAGCAACCAAGTAGCCTGTGCCAGTTCTCAAAGTGACTCTCTTTTGAAGAGGTAGTTGGTTCTTTGCACCTGGGAAGGTAGCCTCCTTCCAGCAATTCCTGTAGCCAAGCTGGTGCCAAAAGTATTGCTCTGCTTTCCTTTGGACCACATCAGTGAGGCCAAGAGGGAGGTCACTTCAGTGCTGCTAATGCAACAGTTTGACTTCATGCCCAGAGGCACACTCCATTGTCTCTTGAGACAATGGAGACAGACAGATGCCAGCAAGAAGCTCTTGTAGCAGGGGTCCTCTTCCACAAATATGATGTTAAAAAAGTTGCTTCTTTCTGACCTCCCAGCTGAGGCAAACTGTTGACATGCACTTCCATCTCTTGCTTAAAGTGATTGCTAATGTAAATGTGATTTCTGCAGCAATGCTCACTGCAGTTTATTCCACCATTGATTCTAGTTGCTAATAAATGTTGATGGGTTTCTGCCCTGCGTTCCAGGGGGAGCACCTTGGCGTGATGGAAGCCACAGAATCCTTCTTTGCAATGACCAAGCTGTTCCAGTCCAATGATGTAAGCATGCCAAGTCTGCCTCTATATGTTCACATAGGGGAGGGGAAGAGTACGAGAGGCCTATCCTTTAGTGCAGGGCTGTCCAAACCCCAAGAGACTGCAATCTACTCCCACTATAAAACAACTGACAGTGATCTACCCGCTGGATTGTCCAAAGTTGTTGAGCTTTTTTTTAGGGAGCCAGAGTTGTTGAGTTGAGGGTCCTAGGATCGACCACAGACGTCCCACGATCGACCAGTAGATCACGATCAACCTGTTGGACAGGCCTGCTTTAGTGTGCAGTCCTGGGCAAGAAATCCTTTTGCCAAAGAGCCACTTTGGCAAAATGGTGGGGTGGCAGGTCCACTCCCAAAATGGCCTGAAGCCATTGTTACATTTGTTTCTCATAGAATCATAGATTTGCAGAGTTGGACCCAAGGGTCATCTACTGCAGCCTCCTGCAATGCAGGAATCTCAACTGAAGCATCCATGACAGGTGGCCATCCAACCTCTGCTCATATGCAGCCTCCTTTCCTCTCAGGACAAAACAGTTTATTTTTTGATATATGCTATTGGTCAAGTGCAGTCATGGGAACATAGGAAGTTGTCTTATACCAAATCCGGCCATTAGTCCATCTAGCTCAGTATAGCCTACACTGATTGGCAGTGGTTGTCCAGGATTTCAGACAACAAATCTATTTCAGCCCGACCTGGGGATGGTGAGGATTGAACCTGGACCTTCTGCATGCAAAGCAGATGCTCTGTCACTGAGCTATGACTCGTACCAAAATATGTTCTGGTTGAGACAATAGCAAATCTTTGGCGACTCCTGTTCCCCCCCAGAAATGATAGCAATATTGATTGATTGATTGATTCATTCATTCATTCATTCATTCATTGATAGGTATCCGACTCTTCCTCCCAAAGGATCCCAGGGCAGTGACATTATACCCTGTCCATTTTTTATGCATCGTAACACTTATCTCCCTTGTTTTTCTGCCAGCCAACTCTCCGCAGAATGTGCTACCTGACCATCAAAGAGATGTCCAGCATCTCAGAGGATGTCATCATTGTGACTAGCAGGTGATTCCTTCTTGAGCTGTTCTCCATGCAACTGTTTCCCCTTTTTTTATTTAAGTTGTGTGTGTGTGTATGTGTATCTCCTGAGACCCTTTTAGCCCAGTAGGGTTGGCAGCAGTGCCTATAGGAAACAATGAAGTTGGTGGGTGTTTGAGAGGAAGAAATGATCTTCTTGAAAAAGGGTATTGAAAGACAGATGCTGAAGTCCTCTCAGTGCAGTTGGGCAACTCCAACCTGGAGCAATCCAAGCATGTTCACTGCAGCTGGGAAATCAAGACAAAACAACAAGATAATAGTGCCTTCTTTCTTTTCCCCCTCTTAAAAAAAACAACCTATTGCTTTTTTATCCTGTGGGTACTTTAATGAGGATCTTTCTAGCATACATGGAGATAAGGAATGTTTTGACTCCGTAGAAACTGTTAACAGCAATGCTTGCCAATGTTTGCAGGCAAATTTGAGCAGTAGTTTGCACCTTCCTTTTGAGTGTGTGAGAGCATGCACATTTTGAAAGACAACGAACCACATTGTTAAGGTGTAGCAACTCGTATTTTAGCTTTTGTGCTGTATCTTGTGATTTACGTATTAGCTGTTTTCCTGCCCCCAATGAGGCCGGCACATGTTGCGAAATCATCAGTTTCATAAAGTAACAGGCTACCATAACTTCTCTATTAGGAGCACACTCAAGGATTTACAGGGGTACACATTATCATATTTATTGTGGCCCTTTGGGCCACTCCCACCAAGGCATTTCCATCTTGTTGAGAACGTGCTTCTGTTTCTTCCAGCCTGCAGCTCTTGTGGAGGTGGTGGAGGAGAGATGATTAACAAAATTAATCCTCCTGGCAAACTGGGAATATCCTCTCACTCACCCAAGTTTAGGATATTCCAGCATTCTTCAGCAGAGTTTCCTTTTCTTTGAGAAAAATAAGTGGCTCACGTAAATGTAAACAAGCTTTAATAATAAACTGAGAGAAAACTGTAGCAAAATAACATGATGAGCGAGACTAAAACAACACCGTGAGTCAAGTCTGAGGCAAGAAAACAAGAAGAGGCAGTTGGTCCCTCTTAGGGTCCCTCGAAGGACAGCCAAATTTAAATAACAATCTGACACACAGCTGTGAGGCATTTGCGAGCTTTTTTGCGGAGAAGGTCCTGTTGCTCCGCCATGACCTCCCTGCCAATTTGGATACAATAAAGGAACTGGAGGCCCCTCGACTGTCCTCAGGTCCAGTATTGGATCACTTTGACCGGATATCCCCAGCCGATGTGGGCAGACTCCTCCGAGCTGGAAAGCCCACCACCTGTCCTCTTGACCCATGCCCGTCCTGGCTGATTAGAGCGTGTCCAGACGAGGTGCGGGCCCCCCTGGGGGATATCATCAATTTGTCCCTTGGCACCGGGACATTCCCAGGGGAACTGAAGGAGGCAGTGGTGCGCCCGCTTTTAAAGAAAACATCATTAGATCCCTTAGATCTATCCAATTACCACCCGGTTTCGAATCTTCCATTCCTGGGTAAGGTGATTGAGAGAGCGGTTGCTGAACAGCTTGGTAGGTTTCTGGATGAAACATCGGCTCTGGATCCATTCCAGTCCGGCTTCCGCGCTGGTCATGGGACCGAGACGGCTCTGGTCGCCCTAACAGATGATCTCCGCAGGCAGCTGGATCGAAGTGGGTCGGGGCTGCTGATTCTTCTAGACCTGTCAGCAGCCTTCGACATGGTCGATCACGAACTCCTGGACCACCGCCTTGCCGACGTGGGGATCCAGGGCACAGTCCTTCAATGGCTGCGCTCGTTTCTCTCTGGTCGGGGACAGAGGGTGGCGCTTGGGGGGGAATTGTCATCCCGCCACTCCTTGGTGTGTGGAGTGCCCCAGGGTGCGATACTCTCCCCGATGCTTTTTAACATCTTTATGCGCCCCCTCGCCCAGCTTGTCCAGAGTTTTGGGCTGGGCTGCCATCAGTATGCTGATGACACCCAACTCTATCTGTTGATGGATGGCCATCCTGACTCGGCCCCAGACACACTGATCAGATGCTTGGAAGCTGTGGCTGGATGGTTACGTGGGAGCCGGTTGAAGTTAAATCCTTCGAAGACAGAGGTCCTCTGGCTGGGACGGGACGATATGGGATTGAGGGGCAACTCCCATCTCTTGCGGGGTGCAATTAGTGCCAGCACCGTCCGTTAAGAGTTTGGGTGTAATCTTCGATACCTCCCTCTCCATGGAGGCGCAGATTGCAGCTATAACAAAGGCGGCATTTTTTCATCTCCGCCAAGCTAAGCAGTTGGCTCCTTACCTCTCTCGCCCTGACCTAGCCACTGTGATCCACGCGACGGTCACCTCCAGACTGGATTATTGTAACTCGCTCTACGTGGGGCTGCCCTTGAGACTGACCCAGAAACTCCAGCGGGTGCAGAATGCCGCAGCGAGACTCCTTACGGGGTCTTCGCTGCGAGATCACATTCATCCGGTGCTATACCAGCTGCACTGGCTCCCGGTGGAGTACAGGATCAGGTTTAAGGTGCTGGTTTTAACCTTCAAAGCCCTATACGGCCTAGGACTCTTGTACCTACAGGACCGCCTCTCCTGGTATGCCCCACAGAGGAACTTACGGTCTTCAAATAAAAACATCTTGAAGGTCCCAGGCCACAGAGAGGTTAGGCTGGCCTCAACTAGAGCCAGGGCTTTTTCGGCTGCGGCTCCAACCTGGTGGAACGCTCTGTCACAAGAGACAAGGGCCCTGCAGGACTTGACATCTTTCCGCAGGGCCTGCAAGACAGAGCTGTTCCACCAGGCCTTTGGTCAGGGTGCAGCCTGACTCCCTCCTTTGGCAATCTTTACAAAACTTTAGTTTATGGTTGCCATCAATTTTGATTTTAATTAATTTTTATAATGTTTTATAATGTTGCACTATTTTAGTGTTGTTAGCCGCCCTGAGCCCGGCTTCGGCTGGGGAGCGCGGGATATAAATAAAATTTATTATTATTATTATTATTATTATTATTATTATTATTATTAACGGACATTCTTAACTGAACATATCGGATCACATTGAAGAGAGGGGCTGATTCCGGATCAGAACACGCAATCCCTGCCCACCAGATACCAAACATTCTACTGATCAAATTAGGTCCCAGTGTTTTTCTTACAGCTCTCGCCACTGTTGTCTACTGTTTATGAAAGCAGTCCTAAAAACTTTCTTATTTTAATCCAGTTTAACCAAAGATATGACGGGGAAAGATGACAACTACAGAGGCCCTGCTGTACGAGCCCTCTGCCAGATTACCGATGTAAGTGCCGCAGTGTAATTCTTTGCCGGCGGATCTTTTTCTTCCGGCTACCCTTGCTGTCTTTCCGCATCCTTCCAATCACTGCCTCTCTTGAGTCCGCTTCTTCTCCCTTGCTTCTTTGTTGCTCATTTTGCCCCTTCTCTGAAGTCCTCCTGCCAAATGGCCTCCTGTTTCTGCTCTCACAAGCATCTCTCGCTTTGCCATCCCCGCAGACGACCATGCTGCAGGCCATTGAGCGCTACATGAAGCAGGCGATTGTGGACAAGGTGCCCAGTGTCTCCAGCTCTGCCCTTGTGTCGTCTTTGGTACGTAGGTTCTTGACACACAGCCTGTGCCCTGAGCGAGAAGGGCTATGTTCAGATAGGAGGAGCGTTACATTGTTTGCCCATCTGTAATAATAAAGGTATACGCTTCTTTTTGTGAAATGCTAGGATCGGAGAATGTACTTCTTTCCAGGAACTCGGTGTGTCTCTGTTCTTGGTTCCTTGGTGGGCCATTGCTGCATTTTGGGGAAGAAGCAGTGACGTTCTGAAATTTATACCTTTGGCCAAATTACTTTTCAGAAGCATTGCCTTCCTGGGTTCTGAGACTGTTTCAAGCCACAGGTGGAAAGGGGGTGGTGGCGATAGGCTGAACTTAACATGTGCAGCTCATAGAGCCCAAAACTTGTGCCAGATCTTTCTGGGGTCTTCCCTTGCTTCTGCTGGAAGGACCCTTATTTGGATTGCAAAGGCCACTTCTTTATGTGCCTCCTTGTTGTTATTTTTCTTGACAGCATCTTCTGAAAACAAGCTTTGATGTGGTAAAACGCTGGGTGAACGAGGCTCAGGAGGCAGCTTCGAGTGATAATATCATGGTCCAGGTAAGAATCTTAAAGCCACTTTCAGTCATTTTTAAAAAATGACATTGAGTTTTAGGTGTGTGTTTCTGGGTTGATTTGTGGCAGGGAAAGGGAACCTTTGGTCCGCTGGCTAAACTTGACCCACCAGGGGTTCATAGGTGCCCCACAAGTCCTTTCCCCCCCAAACCACACCAACCTGCCTTATACATGATGTCCTATGTGATGTTAGGTGGGGGGGCAGGTAGAGATATGACTGCCAGTTCACAAGCAGGAACCTCAAAGTGCAGACTCTACTGCCCATTGGCTGGTGGGTGGTAAAGTTGAAGCTTTGTGCCCTTTAAGGCACTATGTAGGGTTCTTTACAAGATAGGCAACCCTTCCAGCTCTACAATTCTATGATTCTAAGCCCTGTGTGGTGCTTTGAAGTCTCAGCTTTGGGACTTCAAAGTGCCCAATCCCTTGACATCAAAGTGATGTATGGTGATTGACAGGTGGACTACCACACCCACCTGTCACATTTGGCCCTGATAGCTAGGATCTGATGAAGTTCTAGCCTGTGAAGTAAAAAAAAGTGGAAATAACCTTGACCCCGATACGACCCATTTCCCCCTCTCCTTAATGTCTTCCAGTATCATGCCCTTGGCTTGCTATATCACGTGCGCAAAAATGACCGCTTGGCTGTCAACAAAATGCTGAACAAGTTCATGCGCCATGGCTTAAAATCGCCTTTTGCCTATTGCATGATGATCCGAGTGGCCAGCAAACTGCTGGAAGAAGAAGCTGGAGGGTAAGTCCTACTGCTTGCTATTGTTTTTACATCCCAGGAAAAAACATTCTGCATAGTGCTACACCAAACATTCCTCAAATTTGATTTTGGGCTTTTTTTTAAGTGTTGGAAGGTTTCCCCAAAGCACCTGCAAGTCTTACGTTAGAGAGCCAGTGTGGTGTAGTGGTTAAGAGCGGTAGACTCTTAATCTGGGGAACTGGGTTCGCTTCCCTGCTCCTCCACATGCAGCTGCTGGGTGCTAGTCACACTTCTCTGAAGTCTCTCAGCCTCACTCACCTCACAGAGTGTTTGTTGTGGGGGAGGGAGGGAAAGGAGAATGTTAGCCGCTTTGAGACTCCTTTGGATAGTGATAAAGCGGGATATCAAATCCAAACTCTTCATAAAATGGGGGGGGGGGTCTCCTGCTTCTAAGAAAGTAGGAAGTCCATTATAGGAACATAGGAAGTTGTTTTGTAATGAGTCAGACCATTGGTCCATCTAGCCCAGTACTGCCTGCACTGATTGGCAGCAGCTCTCCAGGATTTCAGGCGGGAGTCTCTCCCAACCCTACCTAGAGATGGATTGAACCTACGACCTTCTGCTTGCAAGCTGGATGCTCTACCGTTGAGCTGTGTCCTTTCACCAATCAGTTTTGGCTGCATCAGAACAGCACTGAGAGCAAGCAAAGCTATTTGGGCTGGGAGGCATGGCCCTTGATGATACTGCCTTGCAACCAGATCTGATTCCTCCCACCCTCTAAAACTCATATGCCGCTCAATGGTGGCAACCCCCCCCCCTTCAAGTGGATAATACACCTCCAAGCAGTTGGGTCATTTCTGAAAGTTCAATTTGCTTTCCCAGTGGACAGCCATGCAAGTTTTTAAGTCAAGCAGTTGGCCTATGTGTGGGAACCTGACTCCTCCTTTTCTTCTTCCTCCTCCTCTTTTGGTGTCCTAGCCGTGACAGCCCCCTGTTTGATTTCATTGAGAGCTGCTTACGGAACAAGCACGAGATGGTGGTCTATGAAGCTGCATCTGCCATTGTTAACCTGCCCAGCTGCTCGGCTAAAGAACTGGCGCCAGCTGTGTCTGGTAAGTCTTTTCATTGTTGAAGGAAAGGGAGACTTGCTGGACGCAGGCCAGTTTGCTTACTGGTCGTAAAACTAAAGTCTCGCTGTCAATAAAAAGCACTTCCTTGCTGGGTTCAGTGCAGGATTCTCCAGCATCTTGAGGGTTGCTGTGTGTTGCAAAGCAGGCCTGTGAGTGCTGTAGGATAACATCAGCAAAGTGACATGCAGGCAGGCTCATTGATTGAGATGGTGCATTTGGGCCCTGGGAAGATTGGATATGTGATGTAAGAAAGCCTTTGCCTAATGTTAGGCACCAGGCCAAAATGTTCCTCTTTAACCAGGCCTTTGCTTGATTTGACTGACATTCTGTGCCCTTTTAAAATGTATTAGGGGGTGTTATTGGGTGGTGGTTGTTTGTATTTTGATTATGTACTTTGTGGTTTTATAGTCTGGTTTTTTCCCCTGTGAACTGCCCTGAGACCTTCGGGTATAGGGTGGTGGAATAATAGTAGTAGTAATAATAATAATGGTGATAATAATACTAAATTAATAATATAATACTTGCTAAGAAAAGTGTACTCTAAAAGGAATCAAAATCCACTGTGAATATTAAGAGAGGCGTAAGTGAGTTGATGAACAACGACTTGATGCAGGAACAAAAACCGGGCCATGTCTTGTCATCTCCAACAGGCAGCATCAACCAGGGGTAGCTAACATTGTGCCCCCCAGATTTTGTCGGACCTCAACTCCCATCATCCCAGGCAGGCTGGTCAGTGGTCAGGAATGATGGGAATTGTAGTCTAGGAACATCTTGAGGGCACCACATTGGCTATCCCAGCTTAGATTTGGTGACTGGTGGACAAAGCAATGTGCATTTGCCTCCTCTGGGAATGAGAGAAATATGTCTCTTCTGCAAACTTCTTGTGTTCCAGTTTCACCCCTTACGCAGGCTGTGAACTGAATCATTGCAGTATGGCTGGTGTGACTATCTTGCCAATAATACTCTATCATTATTATTATTCATTTTACAGTGTTACAGTTGTTCTGCAGTTCACCCAAGGCAGCACTTCGCTATGCAGCAGTTCGAACCCTCAACAAGGTAAGAAGGCTCAAAGAACTCTGTGGCCAGTTGGGTTTGCCTGCTTGGGTAGGGCTAAATTCTTAGTCCTTGGATAGGTGAAATAATAAAAAAGAAGTGCCATTGATCCTATGAGACCAGCTGATAGGAACAGATTTCACCGGTTCTTTGAACCACCTCTCTGGTTATGTGTCCATTTCTTGGTTTTCTGAACTGTGGTTTAAGAAACTGGGAACAAGTTTTGAGGCCCACATACTTCTTCCCCTGCACACTGTCTTAATTTTAAGCCACAGCTCCTTTTTGTATCCCAGACAAGAAAATCTGGGTCAGTGTTCCACTAGCCAGGATCAACTGTGAAGATATGTATTGCTAAACTGGCATTAAACCAAAGCATTAAACTCTGCATTTTGTATGCAAGGTGGAACTGTAGCTCAAAGATAATAAGACAAGAGCTGAAGTTGGGGCACAACAAAAACAGTTTAATAAATGGTAGTTTGTGTCAGAAACTTTATGATTCTTGCCCATTGTGCTGTGTTGTGAACTCTCCCAGGGGCTCTTGTATTGAAGATACTGTATATTCATGCTTACAAGTTCAGCCAGCCTGCAGGGAGCAAATTCTTCTTTCTGTTCCTCGCCACTAGGTTGCTATGAAGCACCCGTCTGCTGTGACTGCCTGCAATCTTGATTTGGAGAATCTGGTCACAGACTCCAACCGCAGCATTGCTACCCTGGCCATCACCACCCTGCTGAAAACCGGCAGCGAAAGTAGCATTGACCGGCTCATGAAGCAGATCTCCTCTTTTATGTCTGAAATCTCCGACGAGTTCAAGGTATGGAAAGACTCGTGCTTGGGGCTTTTATTGAGCTTTTCTGCATGTGGGATGTGGGCTGGTGTGAGACGCAACTCCCATTATTCAGTGTGCTTGTTGCATTCCATGTTCTTTCCAGGTTGTTGTGGTACAGGCCATCAGCGCCCTCTGTCAGAAGTATCCACGCAAGCATGCTGTCCTCATGAACTTCCTCTTCACAATGCTGCGTGAGGAGGTAAGTGTCGCCGTTTGCATCGCTGTCCTCATTATTGGCTCGGGGCAATCTTTCTCCTGCAACCTGTGCTACCCAAAATGGAAGCCTGCGTGACCGAAATATGACCTTCACCTTACAGCTTGGACTGCAGGAATCTGATACGATGTAGAAGTCTTTTAACCCAGTATGTTTCCGAGCACAATTCATAGTGTTTGTGCTGACTTTTAAAGCCCTAAGCGGCCTCAGCCCAGTATACCTGAAGGAGGGTCTCCACCCTCATCATTCTGCCCAGACACTGAGGTCCAGCGCCGAGGGCCTTCTGGTGGTTCCCTCACTGCAAGAAGTGAGGTTAGAAGGAACCAGGCAGAGGGCCTTTTCAATAGTGGCGCCCGCCTTGTGGAACACCCTCCCATCAGATGTCAAGGAAGTAAGCAACTATCTGACTTTTAGAAGACATCTGAAGGCAGCCCTGTTTAGGGAAGTTTTTAATGTTTGATCTTTTATCGCTTTATGATTATGATGATTATTAATATTCTGTTGGGAGCTGCCCAGAGTGGCTGGGAAAACCCAGCCAGATGGACAGGGTATAACTATATTATTATTAATTTATTAATTTATTATTTCCCCACTTGAGTAATGTCAGTCAGATGCTACCACTGCTCATAGGGCCCATGCCTACTGCAGGCATGTTACATACTTGTCAATACAGTATTAGCTAAAACCCACTCACCATTTCCTGCAGAAAAGCATTGCTTACTGATTATGCTGTACTTATTTGGTGAACATCCTTAGAAGCCTCCACATGACTGGGAACCTTGATAAGGCAAAGCAGTCACAAGGAGACTTTTACATGCATTTAGTCAAGCCTGCTTAGAAGACCACATCGGACCTTCTCACTCAACATGGTTCAGGTGCACACAAGTGCGCATGAGGACAGTGGGGGCTCTATGCAGTCTGTTTAATGTGTAAATAAGGCTACAGTTTGGGTTGAGGGATTTTCTAAGGTGCTGCTTGGTGTTAGATTTTTTTAAACTCTCAGCCTGTCTCCATATTTTAGATTAGGGAAAGGGAGATGTTTTGGGTCCATGGGCCAGATCCTTATCAGAATTGGCCTTGTGGACCAAATTTGACAGGTGGGTGCTAGTTTTGCCAGCCCTGGGTGCTAGTTGCCACCTGTCTTGCCACCCCCTTTGGAATGGGCACCAGCTCCCAGCCAGTTGTTGCCCATTTCAGCATACTCCCACCCCCCACCCCCGAAAATCTGCTCTTGGGAATCTTATTAGCAGCCTGAGTTGTATCAGCTCTTTCCTTTGCCAATGCCACAGTGCTTGCCAAGGAATGAGTTACCCCCTTAACCATTTTTACAGGCAGATTACCGACAGAAGTCAATTATTTTTCCAGATACTTTTTTCTTCTTCAAAAAAGCAATCTGATGCAGTGTCTGTTTTTCTAAATATATTAACCAGCTGGCAATATTTTCAGTTGTATTGCTTTCTAGTAAGATCTGGATAAAACTACGGCTATTTAAGCTGATTTTTCTTTCCCTCTGAAAATGGAATGTTCTGTTCTGATAGCTTTTTGTGTGGGTGGAGAGTATCGTCCTGAGTATTCTGGTTTCAGATGTTCCTTCCATTCCGTTTATTCCTAATGGCTCCAGGGCAAACAATCTGAGACGGCCGCAGCTTCAGATATGGACCGAACTTTAGATGAGGCAGCACATTTTAAAATCCTATAGGGCAAACAATGGTCTCTTTCCCTGCAAACATAGCCTATTCTACTTGTAATAAGCAGCTGTTGGTTGTATCTGGGAAGATGAAATGCTCTTGTTTTCCTAGTATGCCATTTTATGAAAGAACCCAATATTCTGTTTATTTGAGGGCTTCATGGACATGAAAATATTATTGCTTGATGGGCTGTCCCACCTCTGTCCATCCATTCTGTTTGATATGTGCCTTAATTTTGTTCTTGAAAACCTTCCTGCCAACACTGTGATTTATAGCCAGTCCCTGGGGACTCTTCAGCAGAAGATTTAGGCTTGGAACAGAAGAAACGCAGAGCTTCAAAACCCAGCGCTCTGCATGCTTGAGGCTGTACTCAGGGTGCCTCCAGGCTGTCGGTGTTTTGTGGAAGGGATTCAGGCGCTTGCCGGATCATTAGCTTTATGCAATTAAAGTGGATTAAAGTGTTCTGTCTCCCTAGCTCAACAAATCCACTATTTAAAAAGGACACTCTTCGATTTGGAAAGTGGCAGGGAAGTGCACTGAAGTGCGAGTTGAACAAATGATTAATGGGAAGATGTCTAACTACCCAGCAAGCAAATTGGGATGAGTGCAGGATGAATGCTCATTGTCTCTACAACAACCCAACTGGCACGAATGCTCAGCACAGATTGGACTTGATCTAATCTCTGTATAAGCTTTGTGCAGACAAATTGGGAAGAATGCTGAATAAACAGGTTGTCTTGAACAGCCCTAAGGCTTTTGCACCTGTGCCTTCCAGTAAAGTCTGTCTCTGCACTTTTTTCAGGCTTTTATTCTCGGCCATATGCATGAGAAACCCTTTTTGGTATCTTGTCTTCTTTTTCCAACAGAAGGCAGCAAGCAAAAGAATTATAAAAATGCAAATTGGTTGGAGCAGGACAATGGAACAGGCAGGGGAGGTGGCAGGATGTCCCTTTATAAAACGAAAGCATAAAATCCTAAAGATTCCAGACTCTTTGCTAAACGGTGCAGATGAGTAAGCGCCCTGACACCCTCTTACCTTGAAATGCAGTTGAAAATTAATTATTACCCAGTAGCTTTTCTTTTCTTTTTAAGAAAGGTACTGTAAAAATAGAGCCACTATCCTCCACTGAGCTTTCACCCTGACTCATTCATGTTCCTGTCCAGGGTGGCTTTGAGTACAAGCGAGCCATTGTTGAATGTATCATCGGCATCATTGAGGAGAACTCGGAGAGCAAGGAAACCGGACTCTCCCACCTGTGCGAGTTCATTGAGGACTGCGAGTTCACCGTCCTGGCCACCCGCATTCTCCACCTGCTGGGCCAGGAAGGGCCTAAGACCAACAACCCTTCAAAGTACATTCGTTTCATTTACAACAGAGTCGTCTTGGAACACGAGGAAGTCAGGGCAGGTACATGCACACATACAAAGAGCTTATTGAGTCAGGTTGTCGGTCAGTCTAGCTCAGGATTGTCTGGGCTACCTTGCTGTGCCTCTCCAGGATTCAGGCAGGCAGGAGTCTTTCCTGTCCAGAGGTGCCAGGATTGGAACCTGGGACCTACTGCCTGCAAAGTGTGACAGCCTCTCCTCCTCTTTATGCCGTTGGGGGTAGATGAACTTTCCTGACTTGAAATCAAATCAAGGGAAATGGGCACTTGCTGGAATGGTCAAATCGAGGTAAATGGTCACCCAGCTGGAAGGGACAATGGACAGGGATGGTGGAAATTGTAGTTCAGCAGCATCTGGAGGGTCACAGATTCTCCATTCCTGATGTAAAGAATGTACTGATAAAGAAAGATGATACCTTACATGTTATAAGAGGATATCAGCTGCAAGGGATCGTTCAGATACTTGTGTTATATGTTAGTTCAGATACTTGTGTTATATGAGGTTCTAATGATAACGTAAAAGCTATTTGTTCCTGGTTCAGTCCTGTGAATATATTCCTATTCCATGCTTGGCTAAACCTTTAAGGCAGTGGTTTTCAACAGTGGGCCATGGCACCCCGGGGTTCGCACCATGCATGATGGTGAGGGGTGCTGCAGGCGACACCAACCTCTGTCCCTCTTTCATTCCCTCCCTTCCTCTGATGCCCTCTCGCGTCTCTGCCTCCCAAAGGCTTGCACAGCTGTTTATTGCAGCAGCCCTGGCTACAAGTTCCCCAGGTGAATGATGCCTCTGGGGCTGGCCAGGGGGTGCTTCCCAGGGCCCTGTGGGACAGCATGAGAATGCACCTCTCTTTGGGGCAGGGGAAGCAGCTCAGAGACCAGGGGCAGCTCCAGCAGCTTCCTGGAGGACTCCCAAGGAGAAGAGAGGAGAGAGGAGGCTGAGGGAATACTTCGCAAGGGAGAGTGTTTGAAAAGGGGTGAGGGACTGCCAGCTCCGCAGGCAAGGGGTGACATAACTGGTCTCCTGAGCCCCACAAGCATGCTGCAGAAAGAAGGTAGTTGGTCAAGGGAGCCGTGGACCCAAAAAGGTTGAAAACTTCCGCTTTAAGCGGCTTCCCACACTGTCTTCTCCAGCTGATCATCCCTGTTTCCTTTCTTGCTTACAGGTGCTGTGAGTGCTCTGGCTAAATTTGGGGCTCAGAACGAAGAAATGCTCCCCAGTGTCCTTGTGTTGCTGAAGAGGTGAGTTGTGATTAGAGCAGCATGACCACATAGATCTAACACAAAAAAACTCTCCCTGGGAAAGATGTGTAGTGTTTTGCTGTTGAGACAGCTCTGGAAAAAGCCAGACATGCTGACTGTGTGGCCTAAGCTGATTTCATAATTACTCCTGCTGCTATGTGGTCAGAGAGGGCTGGCATGGACTACAGTACCCTGCAGGAATCTGATTGGATGTGGAAGTCCTGCTGATTTCCCCCAAGCAAACGATGCACAGACCTGCTTTAAATTTCTGACTTCCTTCTGATTTAGAAAAACTGGCTGGCTGGTCAGTGCTACTGGAAACCCAGCCAGATAGGCGGGGTATAAATAATAAATTTTATTATTATTGTTGTTGTTGTTGCTGTTGCTGTTGCTGTTGCTGTTGCTGCTGTTGCTGTTGCTGTTGCTGTTGCTGTTGCTGTTGCTGTTGCTGTTGCTGTTGCTGTTGCTGTTGCTGTTGCTGTTGCTGTTGTTATACCATTGCAGCAAGGACTGTTGCTGTTGGATCCATGTCCCTGGCCAAAGAGACAGAGCAGACAGAATTGAGACATCAGGGTTTCATGTGGCTGGATTTGAGGATAGAGTCAGTGCAAAAGGCTTAAGAAAATGAACAAAACATTTTTAACAGGAGCAGTAACGTCTCACTTTGCAAATCCCCAAAATAATAAAAACCGGGGGAAGGGAAACGCAAAATTGGAAAATGCCGGATAAAAATATAAGACTTCCTCAGATGGAATGGAGGAGAACTGTTAGGGGCCTAAACATAATAACCAAAAAGTGCTGACACAGCCTTGGGTTTGCTTCCAGAAGGAGGACTGAAGGAGGGCAGGGGTTGCGTGCATTGATGCAGTTCTCTGATCTTAGTCTCTGCAACAGATTAGGAGCTTAGCAGGGTCAGCACAGATGCCTTGGTCGAAAGAAGGGATTGTTCCCAGGCTCAGATGCACTGAGGTGGCCACCCATTGCAGATTCACTCTTGTATTCGGCACCACAAAACAGTCTTAATGGGCTCTGAGTAAGCAGCTGTTTCCTGACAGTTGTCAGCACTGGGGCAGGCTATTTATGCTGCTGATCCCTTCACCACAGAGCATGCCGTCCTCTTTATTGACCATCTGGATTGGATTAACTTGGATAGATCCATGTGAATTCAAGTGATTCCCACTGAGCAGAGCTCTCTGATCTTGATTTCAGGTGTGTGATGGATGATGACAATGAAGTGAGAGACAGGGCCACGTTCTACCTGAGTGTCTTGGAGCAGAAACAAAAAGCCCTCAATGCTGGCTACATCCTGAACGGTAACCAAGATGCCGGTTTGGGGGCATGTGAAACGTAAAGTCATATTTACGGCTAGAATTTGCCAGAATGTGGAACAGGTGTTTTGGGGAGTTTAAAAAATAAATAAATCTTGAAGACTGTGACAAAGATTTGACAGTTAGAATTGTAGGTGCTGTAGTTTGGTTTGAAACTTCTGTTGTGTTTTTCTTTTCTTTTCTAAAAAGCTGACTTTCAAATTGCTCAGGTTAGATTGGGAAGCTGTTTTGTAGCCCAAAGTCTCAGGGCAAGTTTTATACTGATATCAAAATTGTTCACAATCACATAAGACAAACCAAAAGGAAGGTCATGCATACATCTGCTGAATAAATCCGTAGCTCTAACTCAGGGAACTTAAAATTCTCAGCTTGTTCACCCTACCACCCCAGAACAATGCCACCCCTAGCTTACTTTTTAAAAACAAACAAATAAATTATATTTTATTGATATGTTTCAGTGAGAAAATAAAGTAGAAGGAAGGGGGGGGGGGAATGAAAAAGGAAGAGAGACCCGTAGCTTACTTAACTCTTATTTTTGCTAAAATTCACCACAGTGGCTCTTGCCAAAGCTATATACAGACTGACAAGGCCAGCTCAAAATGTCTACCTGCCTGAAGTGAGGCAGAAGTCTGCCCCTTCTCCTCCCAATTCCCCATTCCACATGGAGAAGCCACCTGGCCTGGCCTCTGAACCTTCCTTGGACACTGGTGATGGGATAGCATCCTGTGCTGCGTGTGAGACAGCTGGCTAGTTTTGGGGAGCCAAAAGAGGCTGTGCAGCATACGTGCAGGTCTATCCTCCAAGGGAAGGGAATGACCAGGAGGCTTAGGAGGGACCGGACCCTGCTGCCCATCTACCCCAGTATCTGCTGCCCAAGGCACTTTGCCTAACAGTAGAGCCGGCCGTGCAGATTGATTTCCCTTCTATCCCAACCTAGTAACTGTCACCTTCCAACCAGCTCATCATTTCCACCTTTAACATAGTGCAGCTCCTCTCAGCCAAGGGGGTTGGTTAGAAAGAAGGAACAGGAAGGAAGGCAATAGATGACTCCTTATTTCCACACCCGCCAAGCTAGAACACCAAAGTGCATTGTGCAGCATTGATGAATTGATGGTGGTGTAGGGGAAGGCTTGATGGACAGCTCTGAAGGCTCCTTTTTGGTTGCCAGCATTTACTGATACTTTTCAGGTCTGTCTAATCTATTTGTGGGTCAGCGGAGATGGCTTCGTGTAGCATGAAGGGCAAATGGGGATTTTAGCCTGATTTCCAGATCTGCTTCTCTTCCTGTGCGGATTGTATAATAAGGGATAGCAGAGCCTCTCTGCCCCCTGAGCTCTGAATGGGAACAGATGCAAGCCAGTTGTTTTGTACGCAGCTCTCAGGAGGAGAGTCGTCTCCATAGGTACCCTTTTGAGGTTATGAGTGTCCCCAGCTCCCTGAAATGCAGATATTCATCAGGAATGGATTTGCAGTGAAGCATTTGGTTCCTCTGCATCTGGATAGGAATATCTCCTCAGTGGGTAGTTGCTCCTAGCTCAATCAGCAACCCATTTAAGCTGTAGGGGATTAAATTGGCCCCAAGCCAAGCCCTTTAAGCAGGTTTTGGGATGAGGCCATATGGAAGAGCAGATGTGGAGACTTAATTGAGCTCTGATTTATAAGGCGACAAAGAGGTCCCTGGTTTCCTGTTAAGTTCAATTTTGGTCACCCTTTCTCTTCTCCAGGATTGACTGTATCCATCCCTGGCCTGGAGAGGGCGCTGCACCAATATACACTGGATCCTTCTGAAAAACCCTTTGACCTGAAGTCTGTTCCCTTGGCAACTGCCCCCATCACTGAACAAAGAACAGGTAATCGTAGAAATAACAAGGGACAAACTTTCTCATCAGTGTCTAGCACAGCACGTTTCTTGGGGACTTTCCAGTTCTCTCTGCCCTTTCAAGGTGGCCCAGCTTGAATTTCATGGGCCCTTTTCACAGCAGCACCTGCAATATTATGAATTGCTTCAGTTTCATCTTGCTAAGACATCAGGGACCGTTTTCTTTTCCCCTTATGCTGCTACCTGATCAGAATATTGGTGCCATCTTCTTCCATTACAGTAATCAACCTGCTGTTTGTTCCAATTCTGGCTCTCCTCCCACCTCCTCTCCTGGTTTTCTAAATGAGCACCAAAAATAAGGTGCTGTTTCTCTGTAAGAGGTTCAGTTCCCCTTTTGAATTACCACAACAGAGCTTCAGGTTAGCAAACGTGAATTACTGTACATGTGCTGTGTTTTTCTTGCTCCATTTGCAGAAAATGCTCCGGTGTCTGCCACCAAGCAGCCAGAGAAAGTGGCAGCAACCAGACAAGAAATATTCCAAGGTATGATATCACCTTGTATTTGAGTATAGAATGTGACAGTTGAGCAATTTGTAGGATTATTCCCTCAGTCTTTCGATATCTGAGATTTTTCTGATAGATGTAGTGTGTTAACTAGAAATGTTTTTGGGGAGAGTAGAGTCAAGATCAACTACTTTTTAATGTATATAGCAGGTGGGGGAACTAGATCTGGCCATTGGGCTAGTTCCTTATCTCCCCCACTTGTGGGCCAACTTTGACTAAATAAAAACGGACAAATTGCCAGTTCCAGATGGCATCCACCTCAAGAACTCAAGTGTGAAATTGTTGATCTTCTAAACAGAAATGTGAAACTTGTCCCTCAGATAAACCTGCATACATTAGCTACTTTCCAGTTCTCAGGTAACACCATTTTTAAAAGAGGGATCCAGCGAGGATCCTGAAAGTTATAGGTCAGTTAGCTTAATGTTTGTTTGGGGGAAACTGGTGGAAAGTATTGTTAAGGATAAAATAGCCAAGCATATAAGAACAAGTCTTGTTGAAGTAGAACGAGCTTGGCTTCTGTGAGGGAAAATCCTTTCTCACAAACCTATTAAGAGTTCTTTGACAGTGTCAACAAGCATAGAAAGAGGTGATCTGTGGTGTTCTTTGACTTTCAAAAAGCTTTCCACAAGGTACCTCACCAAAGACTGCTGAGTAAGCAATTCCTGGATCAGGAATTGGTTAGGTGCTGGAAGCAGAGAACAGGAATAAATGGAAGTCGCCCAAGGATCAGTACTGGGACCTGGGATCTTTAACTTGTTCATAATTGAATAGGATGCTGGACTAGATGGGCCATTCTCCTGATTCAACAGGCTCTTCTTCTGTTGTTCTGTACTTAAATGTTTTTATCCATGTTTTACAGATGAGGGAACTGAGGCTGGGAGTTGTTTATTCCCCTAAAGCTATAGTCTAAGTAGAGCAGAAATCTTGAATAGGTTCCACTTGCCAATTCTCTCTGTGTGTGTGTGTGTGTATTTTAGAACAATTAGCTGCTATCCCAGAGTTCCGAGAACTCGGCCCGCTGTTCAAATCCTCTTCCGAGCCAGTGGCTCTTACAGAATTGGAGACGGAGTATGTGATCCACTGTACCAAGCACACGTTCACAAACCACATGGTGTTCCAGGTGGGTACTGCGTTGAAAATACACGAGTAGTGACAGTAGTCTCTTCCATTTATAGATGGGTTAATGTCTGGACATCTCAGAGTTGTTTACAGTATAACAGATGCACAGTGGGTGCAATAAAAATAATGTCACATGGTTTACCTTCAAATAAGCGCCAAATATGGTTTCCATATCCATGAAAACAGTATCAGTATAAATAAAGTCAAATAGCATTTGAGGCAGCATAAGGTAGAATCCTAACAAACATAAAACACCCTTTTCATACCGCCACTTGCCCAGTCTCACGCTCACAACATCCGTTCCCTAATCACTACAATCATTCACTATCTCTGTCAACCAACCAATTGCACTCAGCACCCACAAAGAATTGCTGCCAATCATATACATAGAAGAGACTCTCCTTCTCTGGAGGGTAGGACCCTAGCCAATGGATTCAAATTACAAGAACGGAGTTTCTGACTAAACGTCTGGAGGAACTTTCAGACAGTAAGAGCTGTTCCAGCAGTGGAACGGGGGTCCCTCGGGAGGTGGTGGACCCTCCTTCCTTGGAGGTTTATAAGCAGAGGTTGGGTGGCCGTCTGTCATGGATGCTTTAGCTGAGATTCCGGCATTGCAAGGGGTTGGCCTAGAGCAGACGATCCTCAGGGTCCCTTCCAACTCTGTGGTTCTGTGGTTCTGCATATGCTTGCACACCTCTCTGTCCTCCATTCAGGCAGTCAAGAGGCATACTTAGAGGTCAAGGACATATTCTCGCGAGATAAAACACTCAGAGGTTCGAAGCAGGGCTGTGGCTGGTGAAGAGATTGTGGCCTGGGTAAAGTCTCAAGAGGCTTCTTAGTTAGAGAGCTGCCTTTGGTCCCTGGTTCTGAGGTTCCCCATCCCTGCCTTAAGACTTAACCACATTGGGTCTGGGTTTAAACAAAATGAGTAACTGTGGTTCATTAGAAACAGAAGCAGAACCTTCCAATCTTCTTGTGGCTGAACTGGAGGAGGAGAATGGGGGGCATGCAAATAACATGGAGGCCTGGTGCCTAGAATGATTCATTTGGGGTTGTCCCTGCCAGAGGCCTCAGACCAGAGCATTTCCCTCAGCTAAGCATGGTCAGATAATTGATGCATGCAGCACAGCTCCACGAGAGTAGGTTGGATTAGCTTATGGCAAGGCACAGGTTCCTTTTTATATCTGAAAGATGGGGAGATGTCCTAGTGGGTGTCTACCTGACCCCATTACAATACTAAGAATCACTTTTGATGCTGATCCTAAAATATATGCAGATTTGTTTTACTACTGAAACTGTATATGCCTTGGGAAATGTGCACTCCAGTGGGGATGCTGGAGGATGGAAAGCCATTCTTAAGGACGTTTCAGCCCAAGAAATATTGTAGCACAAGAAGCCAATGCAGGCGACTCTCAACTTACACTGGGGTTATGTTCCGGGGATAGGGTGTAAAGCCAAAATCGTGTATTGTCAAAACTCATGGGTCTCCATGGCATGGCAGGTGGGATTGCCAAAGTCTTTCCCCCCCGAAATATGCCTCTTTTCCACCCATTTTTTATATTTGATTGATTGATTGATTGATTGATTGCCAAGCACTTAAAGCTGAATAGTTAAATGTGTGTAAGTTGTGAGTTATTGTATATGGAAGTTGGATCTTCATGGAAGCAGGCTCTGTGCCTATGCTGGCTCAAGAACTGCACTGGCCTACAGCTTAGTTGGGTGTGGAGGGTCAACCCAGGACCAGTGCAGGCACTATGTCTGTAGATGCACTAAAGCAGATGCCTTCTGCAGTTATCGCCTTAAATGTGGGTCTTAATAGTGTGTCTTTGAAAACTATTGATGGAAACCAGTTAACCTGAAAGACCGCCTACTCCTCTGTAAACCAGCAAGATCGTTTATATCCTCTGTATATCTCACCCTACAGAATGTTATAGGATGGTGCCCCCAAAATGGGCATTTTCCGCTCTTGCCCCTGTATTATGGAACACCCTTCCCTCTGAAGCAGCAACCACCAGTCACTTCAGATATCTTATAAAGACACGTATTTTGGCCCAGGTTTTCCTCAATCCCTAAGATCATACTCTGTCTTAATGTAAATTCCCTGAATTTTTGTTTTTATATATTACTTTTATATTACCCTTTTACTGAGCCCAGGATCTCTGTACGTAGTGCCCAGGTTTGCGCCGTGGAGAGGTCACTTCGGTGCTGCTAACACAGCAAAAACAACATGGGGGGGGCAGCAGTTAAGAGTTTCTAGTCTCTGCAGCCACAGCAGGTTGCTGTGATTCTCTGACAGCCTGGCTTTGCTCCCAGAAGGACACTCCATTATCTCTTGAGACAGACAGATACCAACAATTGGTTTTATGTTGTATTTTTTGTTTCGTTTTTGTGTTGTATATTGCTCAGAATTATTTTTAAAGAAAGATTAAGTGACTTAGAAATGCTTTTAAATAAACAACCCCAAACGTTACATTGCAGCACAGTAAAGTACATTCTGTATTTTGTGCCATGACGTTCCTTGATTTTCCCTGATAGTTTGACTGCACAAACACCCTGAATGATCAGATCCTGGAAAATGTCACAGTGCAGATGGAGCCAACTGAGGCATATGAGGTCATTGGTTACATACCTGCCAAAAGTTTGCTGTACAACCAACCTGGCACTTGCTATACATTGATTGCATTGCCCGAAGAGGACCCAACAGCAGGTAACAAGATTTTCTCTGTTTTCTTCCCTTCTCAGTCAGACCAAGCTGCCTTATAGTTCTGAGCTTGCAGCCCCTGTCCATTTTAACAGACATTAAATGACTTTTGAGAATTCACGTACTTTTTATTTGAAGACTTGTCTGAAATGCAGTGCTTGGTCCTGTCAGTGCAAGGATCTATTTTGCACAGTGGGACTGACTTTGCCCGCACGTGCCCTGCACCCGACTAAAATGCTCCAAATGGGAGCCGGGTGGGGGGGATCCTGGAACAGATTTAGAGGCATTCTTGGAGAGAAAGGGGAATGTACCATTGTGCCAGTGTAAATCCTTGTGCAGATGGGACAGTTTATTAGCACTGCCTTGGACACAAGCCTATAATAACAGTGTGTGAATTGTAGGCCTAAAGACTTCTAGACACCCTTTCTGTGGAAACACCTTGTTTACCTTGAGTGAGGTTGGTAGGTTAATTTGACTTTTCTGTCTAGGGGAGAACTGTCTTGTTGGGAAATTATAACATTACAAGCACTCCTCTCAGTCCTCAGTGACTTTTTAATAAATAGGCAGACTGGACATAGGAGCTGAGACAGGAATATAAATTAACTTGTACATTTCACATTTCTTTGTGCTTGATTTTCTTTTTCTTTTTCTTTTTCCCCTTTCTGCAGTGGCCTGTACGTTCAGCTGCATGATGAAATTCACTGTCAAGGACTGTGACCCGAACACCGGTGAAGCAGAGGAAGAGGGCTATGAGGACGAATATGTGGTAAGAGGAGATTTAGCTACTTTCCTGTCCCTTTTTCAATGTCTCCTGGTCAGGTGGTGAAATGTGAGCCAAGGCAAGGCCATCCAGGGTGACATAGCTTTGCCTCCTGACCTCCTCTGGGGAGCTGTGGCTTGATCTAACAAATGCATGAGAAACCCTGTCTCATCAGGGCCAGAGGATGGATTGACCAGCTTCTGAGCTAACAGGCTGTTCAGTCTCAGCATGTCCAGATGGCTAAGTGTCAAACCTGGGGTGCCCTGTCACCAGCTGCTCACACACAGACCTGGCTTATAACCAGCTGAATGTTGGCAGCCATTTACTTGAAGGCTGTGACGTCTCCCTGGGGCATGACTACTCTGAGCTCCCTGTTCTATCCCCACATTTCATGGATAAAATGCTCCAGCAAAGCTCTTTTGCTTGTAATCTTTTGGGTAAGGGAGTTTTTTTTAAGCAAAATACACCCTTCCCGGCACACTTAAAATACCAAAGGCTCTATTCCCCCCCCCCCCCAAGTATGAATACATAATAATATGCTCTAGAGAGTGTAGCTGATGCGCTGTGTGGAGGATACTGATGAGCCAGCTTTTATGCTCAGTGGGTTTCATTTTATGTATCAGGGCCATTGATTTCCTGTCAGCTTAGGGCACCGTGGAAGTGTTCTGAGTGTCAAACCTACAGGAACATTTTGCAGGGAGGGCTCCTTTTTCCCCCTTGCCTGGGAGTTGTTGTTTTCTACTCCCACCTGCAACTGATATTTTGAGCCCGGGCTGTTTTACCTACTCCTGTGCAGAGATTTTGCTTGCCCTAAGACTTGTCTTCGCCCTGCAGCTTCAGTCCCATTACACAGGGTGGCATTTCTTATTTCTGCTCTGAAGAGCAGACTGCACAATGCAACTTGAACCTGGCTCTGATCTATTGATTTTGCTTCTCAGTTTCTTCCTCCCCACCCCCGCCCAAGTGTCTGGCAATTCTGCTGAGAGTCACATCCGCTGTATGCGCTGCTCCAAAAGCTGCCCACTAAAAAGATCATCATTTAAGAATGGAAAAAAGTGACAGCGTTCAGTCTGCATTTATGCCGTATTAGAAACATAAATGACACACTGTGTCATGCTGCTAAAGGCTCAAAACATATTGTCAGGGAACTGACATCAGAGCGAGAGGCGAAGGGGAGGCTCCTGGATGATGCTGGAGAAGGACCCAGCAGCAGGGGGAGAGGCGACTCAGTGGAGGGGGAAGCATTTAAGCGCAACACCAGGAACAAAAGTGAGCAGATGGGAAAATCGGAGAGAGGGCTCACGGACTCTTCACTGGAACTCAGTGAGGAGGGGACAGGTCCCCCGCTACCCACGCCCACCCTGCGCAGAAGGCTCCCGCGCAGTGAGAGGCGGAGGAGATTGGGTGTCAAACAAATCTTATGTTGGAAGAGATTCAAGAAACGCCCACTGACGGATTCTGCTAGTGACTGAGACAGTCATGATCAGAAGGGGCTGTGCAGTCAGAAAGGTTTAACAAGGCAAATCAGCCTAGAGGGGCACCAGTTTACGCACGAGTAACTCATACTCATTACAGCAATCCGTCAGTCCCTGAAAGTTGCTCGTGCGCAGCAGCAGGCAGGCAGCATCATGAGCAAGCCCGGAGAAGCAGGCACCCAAGGGGAGCAGCTGGAGGGCAAACGCTGGAGGAGAGGAACCGAGATTTGGAGCAGCATGTGGCCATTCTAACGGCACGGCTGGACGAAAGGCGGTCTCAAGATGCACAGGTCAGACCCACCCCCATAGCAAGGAAGGTACCGGGACTGGTGCACAAGTTTGGGGGGAAGCCGCAAGAATACAGTGCGTTTAGAACGGAAATAGAGTACGCATTGGACTTGCAGCATAACGATTTTGAAGACGACGCGGCGCGGGTGGCATATGTTGTGGGTCACCTGCAGGACGGGGCCAGAGAATGGGTCAGACCCCTTATGGCGACGCAGAATTCCGCCATGCAGGACCTGAGGAAATTCTTCCAAGCGATGGACGCGATGTTTTCCACTGATGTTCAAAAAAGTGTGACTAAGCGGGAATTGATGAACTGTAAACAGGGGAGCCAGTCAGTCAGGGACTACTGGTCGCGCTTTGCCATGATAGTTCATCGCCTCGGGTGGGAACTGGGCTCCGAACCCATACAGATGTTATTCGAGGAGGGGTTGTCCCCAACGGTTAAGGATGAACTTTCCCGCGCACCCCGCCCACAGGGGATGGATCAGCTGACCAAGGCTGTGCTTGCGATTGGCGCGCGCCAGGAAGCGCGGGCCCAGGAGAGGCGGGAAGGGAGAGAGCAACGTTGCCATGACTACCGCATTCCTGAAATACCAAGGCAGCCCTCCCCGCCAGCAGAGCCAATGGAAATAGATGGGGCGCGCGCGCGGGAAGTTTCAAGCACCAGCGAAGGGCGCAAGAAGGAGGGAAAGGATTGGAAAACCTCCAAAAGGTGTTACCTTTGCCAGCGGCCAGGGCATTTTGCCAGAGCCTGCCCTCAAAGAAAGGCTTGGCAAGGAATGGTGGGAGCCGCAGGGGGTGAGGAGGAGGTGGTAAAGGAACAGGAACAGGGAAACGAGAACGCTTGGCTGCCAATCAAGGGGCACAACAGCCAAGCCAGCCACCAGTAAAAGTGCCCCAACCAGACCCCCCCAAGGCGGCAATAGCCATCGAAGTGGTGCTAGAACTCCCAAACGGGCACCCAGTCAAGGTGAAAGGCATGCTGGATTCAGGCAGCTCATGTAATTTCTTCAGCAAGGACTTTGCATTAGAGCACCAGCTCCACTTACTGCCTTTGGATTTTCCCTTGCAAGTGACCACCATTGATGGCAGGGAGCTTCTAGGAGGGAAGTGACACACCAAACCCCGCCAATGAGAATGAGGGTGTCCAGGCACTCGGAAACCATCGCCTTTCACGTCGCCTCGCTAGCAGGACCCCCAATAATATTAGGGATGAGCTGGCTAGCACAACATGATCCAGTGGTGGCGTGGCATCAGAGGACAGTCACCTTTGGATCAGCTTACTGCCTGGAACACTGTCTAGGGGAAGCCCCAAGAATGACCGTGGCCAGGGTGGCTGGGATGGCGGTGGAGCGGAAAGGGAGGTGCCGCCACAATACGCAGATCTGCGGGAGGTCTTCAGCGAAAAGGAGGCAGATAGACTGCCACCCCATAGGCCCTTTGACTGCCAGATCAACTTGCTTCCGGGGGCTCAGCTGCCAGTGGGTAAGCTGTACGCCATGTCAGACAGGGAGATGAAGGAGTTGCGAGAATTTATCGACAAGAACCTGAAAAGAGGCTTCATAAGAGAATCAAAGGCAGTAGGGGGCAGTCCGGTGTTCTTTGTGGACAAAAAGGACACAAATAAACCCAGGCTCGTAGTGGACTATAGAGCTGTCAATTTGGTGTCAGAACCCGTGACCTTCCCAATGCCCAGGATTGACGACATTTTAACGCGAGTGAGGAAAGGCAAAATTTTTACCAAGCTGGACCTCAGGGGCGCATACAATTTGATCAGGATGAGGGAGGGGGACGAATGGAAGACCACAATGTTCACACCCCTAGGTGCCTTTGAGTACTTAGTTATGCCTTTTGGATTACAGTCAGGCTCCGCCTGCTTTCAAGCTTTCATGCACCACGTGTTGGGGTCTCTGCTGTACAAGAACTGCGTAGCCTTCTTGGACGACGTCTTAATTTATTCGGACAATGAGGAACAACATGTTAGAGACGTCAGGGAAGTGTTACAACGACTGCAGAAGCACCAGTTGTGGGTCAAGCTGGAAAAATGTCAGTTTCACGCCAGAGAAGTCGAGTTTCTGGGGTACAAGTTGTCTGACAAAGGCTTAGCGATGGACCCAAGCAAGGTGCAGGCAGTGCTGGAGTGGAAGGCTCCCAAGACACGGAAGGACGTACAGAGGTTCTTAGGGTTCAGCAACTTCTACAGGAAGTTCATCAAGAACTTCGCCCACTTGACAGCGCCAATCACGGATTGTCTCAGTAGCAAAAAGAAGTTTGTGTGGACAGAAGAGGCCCAGCAATCCTTCGAAAAACTGAAGAAGGCGTTCGCATCGGAAGAGCAACTCCTGCACGTAGATCTGGAGAAACCCCTGAGGCTAGAGACCGACGCGTCCGACAGAGCCGTGGGGGCGGTCCTTTGCAACCAGGGAAGGGAAAGCAGGAATGGAAACCGTGTGCCTTTTTCTCCAGAAAACTGAGCAAGTCGGAGCAAAACTATACAGTGTATGACCGCGAACTGCTGGCAATCTACGCGGCCTTTCGTCGTTGGCGTCATCTACTGATAGGGGCGCAACAACAGATCCAGGTTTGCACAGATCACAAGAACTTGGAGTACTGGAGAACCGCACGAGTACTCAACCAGAGACAGATTCGATGGGCACAGGAGTTCTCCAAGTTTTTCTTTGAAATCCGCTACGTGCCCGGAGAAGAAAACGTAAGAGCAGACGCTCTCTCGCGTAAACCGGAGTACCTGGAAGGAGAGGGGCCGCCGGAGAAACGACACGTGATCCCCGAGGACCGATGGGTGTGTGGGGAACTTTGGTGGGGAAACGAGAACTAGCCGGGCTGACCAGAAACGACGTGTTCGCGCAAACTAAAATCCGGGAACTACGAGACGGAAGAGGGACCCAAGAAGGGTTTGAGGAGAAGGAAGGGGTACTGTACTATAGGGGGCGCTGTACGTACCGGGGGAAACCCTGAGGGAAAAAGTACTCAAACAACTCCACGACAACCCCACAGCAGGGCACTTTGGACAGCACAAAACCATGATGCTGGTGACCAGGCAGTTCTGGTGGCCCAGGGTGAGGGAGGATGTACGGGAATATGTACGGGGGTGCGACCGCTGCCAAAGGGCAAGCGGGCTGCCCCCACAGGATTGCTGGAACCCTTACCCACGCCGGGGAAACCCTGGGAGGTGGTATCCATTGATTTTATGACAGATTTGCCCAAGTCCCGGGGAAAGACAGCAGTCATGGTAGTGGTCGACCTACTGACAAAAATGTGCCACTTTATAGCTTGCTCACATGCTGTAACGGCAGAGGAAACAGCCCGGTTGTTTGTGGAGCACATATTCCGGCTGCATGGCGCCCCTTGAGGGTTATCTCCGACCGCGGAAAACAATTTACTTCCCGGTTCTGGAGGAAACTCATGAGCTTACTGCAGGTGGAGGTGGGTTTCTCGACGGCGAGACACCCAGAGACCAACGGGCAAGCAGAAAGAGCGAACAGTATACTCCAGCAATACCTACGCTGCTATGTCAGCGAGAGGCAGAACGATTGGGTAGAAAAACTAGCGCTGGCTGAATTCGCGTACAACAACGCGGAACACGTGTCCACGGGAATGAGCCCATTCATGGCCAACCATGGGTGTCATCCCAGGGCCTTCCCGGGAGTGGGGAGGAAAGCTGGAGCGTACCCGCCGCAGAGCAGTTTGTGGAGGAAATGGAGGCCCTACACCAGCAACTTAAGATGAACTTGGAGCGGGCCAAGGAAACTTACAAGAGGCAGGCAGACAAGCACCGCAGGGAAGGGGAGACCATACGGGTGGGGGACCGGGTGTGGTTGTCCACCCAAGGGCTACCTTTCAAAGGGGGGTGCAAGAAGTTGCAGCCCAGACGGCTGGGACCTTTTGAGGTAACACAGCAAGTTAATCCCGTGGCATTTAAGCTCAGGTTGCCTGATAGCATGAAAATACACCCGGTTTTCCATAGGTCCCTGCTTTCACCGCATAGGGAAGGGCGGGAATTCCAGGGGCAAGAGGGAGAAGTCACCACACACCCGCAGGTAGAAGAAAGGGAACACCACCACAGGGCCACGGAAATACTGGACTCAAGGTGGCAAGGGCGCCGGGTGGAGTATTTGGTAGCGTGGGAAGGGGAACCCAGGTCCGAAAACACGTGGGTCCCCACGGAAGCCGTCGAGGACAGGTATCTGGTGGAGGTATTCCACCACCGGTTCCCGGACAAACCCAAACCCCTGGAGAGATTCTGGGAGGAGCAATTTGGAACCACAGATGAGGAAGAGGTTTTTGAGGGATTTTCTGACTCCGAGGAGGGAGGAGAGGTTTCGGAGGAAGAAGCATCAGACAGGGAAGACCACCCCGTTGGTAGGTGGAAGAGCGATTGGGAAGCGGGTTTCGAACCCACGGAAGATGGTGACAGTTCCTTCCGGGGTTTCCCGCCTCCTCGGCCGACGAAGGGGACGAGTTGGTCCCACAGGTCGGCCCAGGGGTGGAGGGGATTCTGGGGGGGAGGTGGATGTCAGGGAACTGACATCAGAGCGAGAGGCGAAGGGGAGGCTCCTGGATGATGCTGGAGAAGGACCCAGCAGCAGGGGGAGAGGCGACTCAGTGGAGGGGAAGCATTTAAGCGCAACACCAGGAACAAAAGTGAGCAGATGGGAAAATCGGAGAGAGGGCTCACGGACTCTTCACTGGAACTCAGTGAGGAGGGGACAGGTCCCCCGCTACCCACGCCCACCCTGCGCAGAAGGCTCCCGCGCAGTGAGAGGCGGAGGCGATTGGGTGTCAAACAGCTCTTATGTTGGAAGAGATTCAAGAAACGCCCACTGACGGATTCTGCTAGTGACTGAGACAGTCCTGATCAGAAGGGGCTGTGCAGTCAGAAAGGTTTAACAAGGCAAATCAGCCTAGAGAGGCACCAGTTTACGCACGAGTAACTCATACTCATTACACATATTCTTTCTCTCTTTTGGCTGGTGTGCAAAGTTATTTCTTAGAAGGGCAGCACAAGCCCCTCCTTCATATGCAGACCATAATGTGAGTCAGGCTCCCTACAAGGAGGCCTTGTGTTATGAGGAGACCAAGCTTCCTTCCTCACCCTCAGGAAATATCATGCAGATCAGTCTGTTTTGCATATTCTTCTTCTTCTTTGGCGATCACTCGTAGCCGAGTAAGATTGTCTTCCATAAGTTTTAACAATGAGTCCGTAAGTGACTGTGGAGGCCAATTCTGGACCCACACGTCCTTCCACAGTGGGGACATTGGTTTCCGGGCGGGAGTTGATCACGGTGTGGATTTGCCAAGCGTGCCTTCCTCCTAGCACGTTTCTCCCTTGCGTCCTGAGTTTGAGTGTCTTCAAAGCCCATGACACCTTTGGTAAAGGCTGTAGAGCACCCAACTCACGCATAGCGGGCATGATTCATGGGATGAACTCTTGTCAGCAGAAGCCCAGTGGGAGTGCTGCTGCTTGTGCAGCAGGGCTTTTCCAACCACCTCTTCCACTGTGTGCCCCCTCATTGGCTTTTGGAGGAGATGGTCGGGAAAACACTCAGAAGAGCATGCAGGGAGAGGGGCAATTCTTCCATCTGGCAGGCTGATGTTTGTAATGGCGTGACTTGGAAGGGCACACCACTCCTCCGTCCAGCGTGTGATTTGGGTGCTGGCCCAGTGATTCTGTGGAAAGATGGGCATTAAGGGATGTTGAAGACTAGATGGCTGGTAAAGGAGAGGGAGTATAGAAGAGGAGGCAGAGTCACAGGCATATAGAGTACAATGCAAAATGCAGAACACCTTGGGGACCATCCCTCTAAATCCAGGGGTGAGGAACCTTTTTGACTCCAGGGGCCAAATCCTCATTAGGATCAGCCTCATGGGCCAAATTCTGTGGGTGGGTGTGGCTGCTGATCTGTCAGTCACATGACACATGATTGGCAGGTGGCCAGCCTGGGGAAAAATGCAAGCCCTTTAAAACATTCTCCTGTCTTAAAGCTGCTAAGTGCCCTTTGAAGCAGCCTCCAAACCCTCCTTTAAATTGGAAGGGGAGAGTTGCCTTAATGTGACGGGGGTTACAGCTGTTCAATGAGCCAATGGCAAAGCTTGATACAGAGTGATATCATTTCACATATCCTTTTTTTATATATTAGCTGGAAGACATTGAGGTGACCATAGCAGATCACATCCAAAGGGTTCTGAAGCCAAATTTTGGAGCAGCCTGGGAAGAAGTTGGCGATGAGTTTGAAAAAGAAGAGACTTTCACGTTATCCACAGTGAAAACACTGGAAGGTAATATTTGCGGGGCTCTTGATATGCTTTCTCCCCCCCACCCCACCCCGAGTTTTTAAGTATTTTCTCTTTGATATGGTCCCCAATATATTTCTTTCCACAGAGGCAGTAGGCAATATTGTCAAATTTCTAGGGATGCAGCCCTGCGAGCGGTCAGATAAAGTGCCTGAAAACAAGAACTCTCATGCCTTGTACCTGGCAGGTGAGGAGTTGTGCTAATATATTGGTTTCAATTTTTGTGGTGATCCTAATGGGTATGGCTGAGTAGATAACTTATAAAGTAACTACCAAAGTATAACCTGGATAACTGTTAGCCAAAACATTATTAATGTAAGAGCCATTCTAATTTTCAGGTCTTTTTCTTTTTTCTTTTTAAGTGTCGTATGTTTCTTTGGAATTTTAGTTTAATGCTCTCGAGGTACCAGAGATGCAAATTCTTGTAAGCATTTGAGATGCTGATGGATAGCCTAATGCTATTGTCGTACTCATATCTACTACAGGTGTATTTCGGGGTGGCCACGATCTCTTGGTTCGTTCTCGTCTTGTCCTGACAGACACTGTGACAATGCAAGTCACAGCACGGAGTGGAGAAGAACTTCCTGTGGATGTTGTCATGGCCTCTGTTGGTTAAACACAATATAGGACTTGATATTTCAAACTCCGAAGCCAAAGGGGGTGTTGGAAATGTATCCCCACTACTCTGGACGCTGAGAGAATCATTAGAACATTAGCTCTTTTTCTAATTAGGGGGGTGGGACATTGTGTGAGTTTAAAGCTATTCTTCAAAGTATGATCAGAGGTTTTCTGAGATACTGAACCAGTAATTTTTTTCAGGATCTCTAAACCATTTCAAAAGAGCATCCTTTTCATATCAAACTCTGCAGGATCCCAGTGCCTAAAGGTGCTCACACCAGCTCCTGTTGTAGTAACAGTGTGTCAGATCTTTTCTGTGATCAGTGAGAGCCCTTCCCATTATGGCAATTTCTATTTGTGTTTGACATGTTTTAAGCCCTTCAAAACAGATCATAAAACTAAAATAATGAATTTACTCTCATTGCCGCTACCAGTTTAGTTTCTTTATGGTGGCATTAAAACAGACCTTACCTGTATCCAATAAAATACAGTAACGCAAAAAGGCTGCCTTGGTATTCTCAAGAATTTGATAGGAAAAAAATGCCTCAGAGTAGTATCTCTTGCCCACATTAGAATGCAATTGCAACCACAGAGTACAAATTCAGTGGACCTATTACTTGTTCATATGAAAACTGACTGACTTCCCTTTCCATTAAGGATAGTTGACCCCAGTTTTTCTTTCATTAAAACAATTAAGTTATGCACAAATGTAAAAAGATGTTTCTGGTGGCAGTAATTGGCAGCAGAGAAGCAGCAGGGGTGATCTAGAGTGGAGAAACAGTGAATAGAGAAATGTTTAGCTTCTGACCCCACTATATTGCTCCTATTCACCCTCTACCAAAGCAGTTTTTCTATGCTAACAACAGCAAAATAAAGCAATTGGCCTACCATGTTACACAGTTTGCTCCTAAAATAGGATGTCTCTTTTTTGTATTTTGCAGTATCTGGAAAAAAGAATTGGTCTAATAAATTGCTGATCATCAGATTGCTTGATTGATTGTAATGCAACTGTTTAAATAATTAGCCAGCATTTTATTTTATTGAAGGTACTTGGAGTTTTGTTTTATTTATACGTGCTAATATTGTGCTTTGTTCTACTCTGCATAATTTTGTACATAAAAGTTGTGCCATGTAAGCCAAGATTTAAACAGTATAGTGTTCTTTTTGAAAAGTATGTGGTTGGTCATTATGGTTGTGAAGGGGGTTGTGTACAACCACATTTCATAATTATATGGCTTTGGCAAGGAGAGGAATAGTTTTACAGAGAGCATATAAGGGCAAGTTCACCCATAAGTTATATGCTCAGGCTTTACATTCAGCAAAGCTCCTGCCAGTTCTGGTTCCTTCAGAGTCTACCTGCAGAGTCCATACATTTTCAAACACATCACTCATATTCACATTATCATTTATAGGGGTTGTTCCCCAAATACCTTGCATGTAGCTCAAAAAATGTGTGCCATGGCCCTAAGAATGGTCAAAGACGGCACCAAATATGTTCAGCATTAAAACACTTCTCTTCCATCTGCTTCAAACTCCTATTAGCAAGATGCCTTATATTAAGTCAGATCATTGGTTCATCTACTCCAGGCTTGTCTACTCTTGAACAGCAGTGACCCTCCTGGGTTTGAGATGGGTCATTCCTATCCCTACCTGGAAATGCTAAGAATTGCACCTGGGAGTGTCCATTTGCAAAATAGTTTGCTGTTCCACTGAGCTACAGTTCTCCCAGCAAGTCTCTTGCTGTGTTGTGATCATTCTCCCACCCTAGCAAATGCACATCTTCTGGTTTTGCCTTACACATTGTCTTTTCACAGCTCAGAAGTTTGGGGTACTGATATTCAGGGCTTGTGACGCCTGTTTTTATAGCTGTTGCTAAAGTCTGTCTTTACATGGCAGTGGGCTATCCTGCGCCAGGAACATATCCCCTGGATTCGTCAGCTTGATTATATTTCTATACTCTGTTGATGAAGTCAGCTTGCTGTCCTTGTGCATTCAAAGCGTGTGGGGAAAGCACATGCAGTGGCACAAACGGGGGGGGGGGGGGGGAGATAACCAAACAGAAAACAGCCAGGTGCAATGACTGTCAACATCACTTAATGGCCTGTAGAAAAAGAGAACAGGTTATCCTCTCAGTGGCAGAGGATGGATGATGTCAGGGTGGAATTCAGGGACAGGGAGGGCAGCCAGCCTACCTCCATGTTTTAAAGAGTGGCCTCACCCTTGGAGTCTCAATATTAAACCTTTTAATTGTCTTAGTTTAATAGAAATATATAGAACATATATAGAGATAACATAATGGAAGATGACAGGGTCCCCAAGGATGTGCTCTACGGGGAGCTGGCTTCAGGTACCAGGCCTGTTGGCAGGCCAATTCCATGTTACCAAAATGTCTGCAAATGTAAGCTTAAAGGCAGGGAACATCAAGCCCGCTGTGTGGGAATCCCTTGTAGGCGACTGCAGGACCTGGAGACAAGTAGTCACGTCATATATCCATAGTAGTGACCAGAGGAGGAATGACCGGTAGGAAGAATGCAGAAGGAAGAAAGGCCATGATGCATCTGCAGTAGCACAACCGGATGCCTTCATCTGCCCCAGCTGCAACAAAACAGGTCTCACATGTATCAGTTTCTACAGCCACAGCAGGCGCTATAGTTCTCCAACAGATTGACTCCCCCCCCCCCCCAGAAGGTGCACTCCTCCATTGTCTCCTGAGACAGACAGATGCCAACAAGCTTGCAAGGAACCATGGCCAATGTAGTAATTGCTGAGAGTGAATTCCTGTTTAATTATTATTTGTTGCTATTTTGAGAGTTAATTTTATTGTGTACTATCCTAATGCATTATTGAATATTACTTAATTTGATATAAGTTGTTTAAGTCTATTTTTATTATGATTTATTTGTATTGGATCAGATTGCTAAAAGATGTGTGATCTTTACTTTTTTCAGCTGTAAACCACCTTGTGTTAGTAATATAGAAAGGCGCTACATATGCAAATTAAAAGTGAAATGACATGAAAACGAGATGTCCCAAGTGTGTGACTCCATACTGCAATCCGGACTGCGATTTAAGTAATCCGCATTGAATATTGCAGGATCTGCTTCTGAGTAAACATGGCCTAAGATTGCGCTGGATAGTTTTACTGCAGAAATCCTGGGGCATACACGAGAAGCACGCTTGGTAACATGCATTTTGGGGCACGAATATTGCCTGTGGTTTCAGCTACTTTGGCAACTACAATACTGTCATGATAAGGTTGTATAACCATCCTGGGCTCTTGCAGGAGAAAGGGTAAGATAGGGTAAGGTAGAAATGCAATAATAATAGTAGCAATTTATTATTATTATTATTATTATTATTATTATTATTATTAGCATCTCTATCCTACTCTTTCTCCTGCAGGAGCCCAGAGAGGTTAATAATTGCCATTATTATTATTAATGTTTTATATGTGTTGGAAGCCGCCCAGGGTGGCTGGGGAAACCCAGCCAGATAGGTAGGGTATAATTAATAATAATAATAATGTAACAACAACAACAATTTTATTTAAAAGTGGGCCTTCCTTGGCATTCCCTTGAAAAGGGCCGAGTTGTAGAAACCCTAAGTGTGCCTAGTGTTGCACCTATGTAAGGAGGCCAGATCCCGAGGGGCCCCGAATCCTTCCCCCGCCCTCGCGCGCCCCTTCCTCGCTCGGCGTAGCGCAACGGCCCATTTCCGAGGCGGCGCTTTGAAAGGCCCGCCGGGGCGCGGCGACGGGGTGGAACCACCGGGCCGGGCTGCTGACGTCACTACCAGGCCCGGAGCCGGAGCTGCGACGCCGCCGAGGAAGGCGCGAAAACCCCGCGAGCCGCCCCGAGAGGGAGAGCTCTCCCTCCGCCTCTTTCCCTTTCCCACCCCGTCACGCGAGAGCGGAGCGCGCGCAGAAACACCCTCGCTGAGGCGAAGAGCGCTGCGGATTCCGACGTGCGAGTCCACACACTGGACGCCGCCCCGGGCCGAAGGGCAACACAGTCCGCGCTTCTTTCCCTCGGCAAAGGTGGTCGCCGCCTTTTTCAGCCCTTAAAGACATCCCTCAGGTAAGGAAGTTGCCCTCTCTCTCCCTTCCCCACCTTCCGTTGTTTCAGAGCTGCTACTTTTTCCTTCTTAAACCAAGAGCGGAGATTCGTGGGGAGGGATAGTTTTCCCCTCTGTAATAATGCGTCTTTGTCAAGTTGCCCGTTCTGATGATGACTTTTTACTGGCTCAAATTTCAGTATTATTTTTTTTAAAAAATGCAGGAAAGCTGTTATTTGCCACAAGGAAGTAAAACGTGGGCTAGAGGTGTCGCAGAAGAGCTGGATTAAGGTTTTTTTGTGGGTCTTTGCTGCAGCAGAGATTGGACAGGTACCCACATCTGAACTTTTTCAGGAAGGGAGCGTATACTGATAGTGAGCTGTGAAGCTCTAGGTCTTACTGGCAAATTAAAATTTAACATCACGTGCTCCAATAAGCTCTTAACTCGAATGTGAAATTGCTGATCTTCTGACAAAAGTATGTGGCTTGTTTCTACTTTGGGCGTTAGCACCTGAGAACTAGAAAGTGGCTAATGTAGCAACATTTTTTTTTAACAAAGAGGGATGTAAGGGGGAATCTAGGAAACTGTAGGCAGGTTAGCTTATGTGTGAATGAGTGTAAAGGAAAATATAAAATAGAATTATCCAACATATAGAAGAAGAAATCTTGCTGAAGAAAAATCTGCATAGTTTTTGCAAATGTTAAGTCCTGTGTCTCACTAACCTTTTAGAATTGTTTTAGAGTGTCAGCAGACATATGGATAAGGGTGAACCAGTAGATATTGTGTACTTTCAAAAAGCTTTTGCCAGAGTCCCTCACCAAAGGCTCCTGAGTAAGCTTAGCAACCATGATACCAGAAAACAAGTATCCTTATTGACTACTAACTTCTTAAAGAACAACCAGCAGAGAGTTGGAACAAATTGGCAGTTCTTAGACCAGAGGGATGTATGAAGTTGGGTTGTTGGCATCTGTCTATCTTGAGAAACAATGGACTGTGCCTCTGGTGGTGAGATCAAACCATTGGAGAATCACAGCACCTGCTGCAGCTGCAGAGACAGGTAGCTTGTAACTTGCTGCCTCCCAATATTGTTTTTGCTGCATTAGCAGCACCGAAGTGGCCTCACTGGGGCACAAGCCTGGACACTGTGAATGGAGGTCCTGGGCTGCCCACACTACAAGATCCCCCCCTCTCAACCCATCCTGGAATGATCTCTCCAGAAAGGCTTGGGATTCTATGAAAGGTGCACATCATGGGCACATGGAATACTAGGATTTACTTCTCTGTGTTTGCATTTCCAGAACTGAGACATTGGAGATTGCAGGGGTGTCAGCCAGATTCATAGGCCTTTGGTCTGAGTACATCTGCTTTTTGCAGGCCACTGAAGAATGTGTGGGCGAACAGCTGTTGTACTGGGAGCAGATCGTATCCGCCGTGCCTGTGAATACCGTGATAATCAAGGAAAGAGAAGGTGTCCAGAATGGAAAAATGCTGACAAATATAGTCCATCCTACAATAAGAGCCCACAGTCTAATAGCCCTGTGCTTCTCTCCCGACAACACTTTGAAAAGGTGAACCCCCCAAATATTAGATTTGTGCTTAGCGTAACTTTCTGTTCAGCTACTTTTACATGTATAGGTGCTTTATGTTAGCTTTGCGAGATCAAAATTTCACAAATAAGGGGAACTGTGACTGTCTGCTCAGTGGAGCATTTGTGTTCCAAAATTAGAGACATCTGTTATATTCTGTAAGTCTAATCATCTAGAATAGAGAGCTTCTGAAGAAGCAGTCTTTCAGAGTAAGACACTTGTCACTCTTTGCTTTATACGTGAGGCCAAATTTTGACCAATCCATCTTTATTTAAGACACAGATGTGGAACTTGTGTTGCTGGACTCCAACTCCCATCAGACCCAAGTAGCATGGCCAGTGGTCAGGAATCCTGGGAATTTTCATTCAACAATGTATAGAGAGCCACAGGTTTTCCCATCCCTGATTTAGGGCATTATGGTCAATGTTGCCTTCGTCAATGACTCCAGCAATGAGGCATGGTTGCAATAATATTTAATGTTCACTGTGTTTCCAGTATTGCTGAGGGAATGTTTCCGTGTTTCCAAGACTACCAAACCATCTTTCAGCAAAATACAGTTTTGGTATATCAGTGGGGAGATGGTGTGAAGGTGTTGGATTCATATGAGATGTTAACTGCAGCAGCCCCCTATAGAAACTTCCCACTATCCAACAGTGTGTTGAGCTGGATGTTCTCAGTAGCACTAGATCCAGCTGACCCCCGTCATGCCATTTCATCTTCATAAGCTCTTGACTAGTGTTGATAGCAGCCCTAGTAAAGGAGCCAAGACTGAAGTCTTTGTATCCAGGCATTGTGATGGCATCACACAGGTCTTTTGCAATACATAAATCATTTTCTTTTCCTTCTGCATCACCCTATTTTTTCAAATAAAAGTTAGATTTAAAAGTTTAATAAATATGCTTACATTCATCTTTATATGTACAGTGGTACCTCAGGTTATGTACATAATTCGTTCCGGAGGTCCATACTTAACCTGAAATTGTTCTTAACCTGAAGCACCACTTTAGCTAATGGGGCCTCCCGCTGCTGCCGCGCCGCCGGAACACAATTTCTGTTCTCATCCTGAAGCAAAGTTCTTAACCTGAAGCACTATTTCTGGGTTAGTGGAGTCTGTAACCTGAAGCATATGTAACCCGAGGTACCACTGTAATACAATCATTAAATAACAATTCTGTATACTGAGAAATTACTAATAATTACAAAGCTTACATTTCATTTAACTCAATCTGCATAGGCCTTCATATGGAGGATTGAGTTGTTAGTCTAACTGAGAGTGATAGGAGAAATGTATGTTGGGAAGTGAGAGATAGAAACCCTTCCATCAGCCAGAGATGATTATTTATCTGTAATGTAGCATTATAGTCTAAGCAGGCTTCTCTGCACTACCTTGTTTCCACAGGGTGCTATAATTGTGTGTGGTGGTGGTGGTTCTGTTTAAAAAACAAATTCCTGCTCCAGCAAACAGACAAATACAATATTGGATTGGTGGTTAATTATATTTTCTGATTTGCAATAAAGCTGAGTTCTCAAATCTTGGAAGATAAGCACTTGTTCTGACACGATTTCACTCACAGTACAAGAGTAAAAAAGGAAAAAAGTGAATTTTAAAATAATCTGTGTCTCAAAATAGTATAAATGCACAAACCTGAAGCCCCCGCCCTGTCACCTTTTCAAACCAAAAATTTGCAATCCATTTCCTCTTTCATTTTCCTGCCTAGACAGGAAGCTGCCCTAAGTGCTTGTGGTTTATTAGTTCTTTCTCAAATGCACATACCAAAGGTATCTTGCCCTTGTTGGCCAGAGGAGCACAACATCATTGCCTTGTCTAGGCAGAAGAAGAGGGTGTATATGCAGGAGTGTCGGGTGGATTTCAAAACAGCAGGGAGGTCAGCAAGTTGGAGGAGTGAATGGGTGTCTGGAGTCCTCGTACACTGCTCTTCTACCACGGATGTCAATAAACATTTGCTACACTGTATTCCTTAACAAACTAGTTTCAGTGGTATTTACCATTAAGGAAAAGTTATCATACATATTGATTCAATATTGAATTAGAGCTTGTGCTGTATTTTCTGATGTTTACATGTGTATGCATGCTTTAAAATCTCAGACCAGTAAGACTATTTTGGTATTTGTTTTCATTGAAACCATTTTAAAAGTTGCCCTCGGGATAACACCGAAACTGAATTTGAATAGAAACTGGCAAACAGAGAAATGAAACCCGTTGGTCTGTTTCAATTGTTTCAACTGAGAAAAATGAAAGAAATGACTCATAAAAACCGGAAGGTACATTGTGAAGAGGGTAAAATAGCAGATTTCAAATTCTGACAGCACAATCCTACACACGTTTTCTAAAAATTAAATCCCACGATGTGTTCTACTTGCCTGTTTTCAAATTGTATTTTTTAACGTGGCTTGCCTGGCTATAACTCATGTCTAATTTACCCTTGCATTTTGTTGGTTCCTTCTGTAACTATTGTAGTCATATAGTAGGGTCTCATCACAACACAGAATTAGAGCAATGAATCCCAGAGCTGTTAAAGTGATAATTAACTTGCTGCCTTCTTTTTAAATATAAAACTTGGTATTTTTGTCAGTAACCGACTTGATTAGAATCACTTTGCTTATATAATGAGAGACAATGTAGAAATCTAGTACACCCTTTCACCCCAATCTACCTAGGAGGTATAAGTGTATAGAAGTTTGCATCTCTAACTGGACAAAGAGCTGCTTGTGCAAACAGGCGCTCCACACACGTTTTCCAAATCTGAACACCTGGGGCTGTGCACCCAGCCCATTTTAGAAAGGTAAAAATCCCTCCAGTTTGGAAAGGTGAATTTATCAACCATTTTCTGCATTCCAACATGATTTTTCAGCAGGAATTTTGCTGTTTTCTGTGTTCACACTGTACACACTGATTACTCTGAATCTTCTTTCTGTGTTTTTGGATGCTTCTCAATATTTCTTCCTGTTTCCACTTTATTAAAGGATGCCAACTCTTCTGAACGTGTCCTTGTAGCTATGCGTTGGGGGCTGGTTCCAGCCTGGTTTAAGGAAGCTGACCCATCTAAAATGCAGTATAACACTGCAAATTGTCGGAGTGATACCATGATGGAGAAACTTTCCTACAAGGTTAGTTTTTGTGTAGCCTTCCATTTGAAAATAAACTTCTTCTTTTTTTTGAAAGTCTGTCTCCTCCTGGCCATGCTATTTACGGTATGTCTTTTGAGCTATACACAAAAAGTGAAGCTTTTTCCTAGAGGTATTCATAACAGTTGCCTTGCCGCACCAAATGTAAACAATTCTGAACTGCATGCTGTGAACACAGCATCATGATTTTCCTGAAAGGGAAGAGCCCAGCAGGTGATAGCATTTCACATGCTGTGCTTGACAGAGCAGCTTCAAGATAACTGGCTGTTTGGTATCTGTGCAGGTTCGATTAGAGAAGAACATAAGTAATGTTGCTGGTATGGGAGGCTTTGGGAAATACAATAGCAGAAGTGGAAGTCTATGAAAACTCACTGGAAAAACAGTTTGTTCTGAATACTGTCACCTCTTTCCATTTGCATCCCACCAACTTCATACACACAAATGGAGGGTCTCTATTGGGGGGAGGGGGGAAGCAAAGGGTCATGAAGAAGTAACATGCATTCGACTGAGGAAATGAGAGATCACACTGGAAAGTTAACCCTCCTTGTTTCTCTGTAACTCATTTATTCATTCATTCTGTCAGATTTCTTACCCACCTTTCACCAAAATGTCTCAAGGCAGGTAACAGTATAATCATACTATTAGAAAAACAGGTAAACAGTTCCAAACAAAAACAGCTCAGTATAGATTAAACAAAATGGTGGGTCCTCAAAAACCAAATATCCTCACTATCAAAGTCTAGAGTAAAGAGGTATGTATTCAGCATATAGTAAAAGCTACATGATAAAAATGCTAGACACACCTCTGTGAGTTCCACAACAGAGAGGGGCCCACTTCTGACCACCTTTTCCTGCACTTTTGAAGGATGGTGGAACTATCAAGAGAGCCCCTTCTGCCAACCTTAACACCTGGGAGTCTTTTCCTCCAGCAGCACAAGTCATCATCTAACTGTGGAAGAGCCCCCTCAAGGGCATGTTGCCATCACACAGCAGTTTAGTCGATGTTTAGGAGGGGAAACCTCATTGTTCCTCTGACTTTGTAAATCTCTCATTTTCCAGCCTATAAACACATTCCATACTTCAACACTTCCTTTTTATTTCTGAGCACAGTAAATGCCCTAAAATAGCTAAACCCCTTGACTCAGTATTATGTAGAAGTTGGAATAGGTCATGGATAAGCTTCTCTCAGAGCATGCTAGACAGTGCCTTTTAGCACGTAGATGGGTGTCTTTCTCTGGTCATTAAGTAGCATTCTCAAACACTTGTTCATTAATGTTGGATTCGGGATGCAGGCTTGAACCTTTTTTCAGTTCTCTGAAATTGATCATGGTATTGACCCATCCCTGGAAGAAATCATTTGCTAGAGAGGCGTTGCAAGGCTGTCTTATGTGAAATGATTTCACCAGTGAAAGTGCCTTAGCACTCAGGAAGTGTGAGTCGCATTGGTGCTAGGAATAGAAAAGCTTTCATATGAACGGTTGGTGCATCAGACTCCTGAGAAATTGGAGAATTTGCACCATGCAAATACAAATTTAATTAACAACAACAGAATGCGAGGTGGTATGGTGCTTGTTGGCAGCAAGACTGTTTCTCCCCAGTTTCTCCACCTGCTTCACAGCTCCTTTTGAGAGCCTTTGAATGCAGATCAGCTAGCTTTGTTGCCAAATTCTTCCGTTCCAAAACACAACACTGAACTGCCTCTTACTATGTTGCTGTCACAGTCTGGGCTCTTAAGAGCAGAACTGAGCAAAGTGCACTGGACCCTTTCTTTTCCTCCAGTGACATAGCCTTGCTGCAATTGCACATGCTCCCAACTTTTTGTGAGAATTTTGTGTGATGCTCCGATAGTGTGATTCCTGTCAGCTCTTCCATCCTAATTTCTCTGACTACTTCTCGGAACAGGAGCATGGCAAACCTTGGGGATTCCTCCCTGTTGCTCTCCTACCTTTTTCTATGTTACAGGTGTGTGTTCCTCTTTTAATAGGTGGCTTTGTCTTCATAAAAATTCAACTTTAGAAATGTATTACATTCGATCCTAAAAATAAGATTTGTCCTCAAATCTTCATGTAGAGGCACAAATAAGACTCATAAGACCTTGTGGGAAAGTGGCCTAAACTCTCATCTACATTTCTGGCAGGGATGAGCAGAGGCTTGTGTAAGGAAGGCCACTTTAGGATACATCTCTGAGATCAGTAAAAGCATCTGTTAGGCTGATAACGCGAGTTAATTAGAAAGGTGTAACAGCTAGAACCAGAGTAGAGAAAAATACAAATAAGCACTCTAAAGGGATGGTAAGGATTCTTAAACATGACTTGTAAGTGGAAAGCTCACAAACACTCATTAAGGAGCAGAATGATAGGGGAATTGTTCCTCACACTCCGTATATGTAGAAACCGTTGCAATAGTATCCCCAAAAAGCACCTGAGCTGCACCAGGAACTAGCACAATTGTAGGACTGTTGCCAATCACCACCATTTTAGAATCCCTGTTGTGTTAGGAATGTCATTGGGTCAATAAGTGTAAATGTAGTAATTAAATTTCTGTTTCCTTCCAAGGATTGTAGTGAAAACAAATGAGTCTGTCAATTTTGTCAACAGCTCCATGTGAATTCACATTTGCTCTGAAGATCATTTCTTTAGAATCCTATGTGATACTATTAAAGTTGTCCCATCCCAAATGTTTGTTTTTAACTATTTGACGTTGCATGAATTACCGGTAATAAAACTTGCTCCCCCTTCCCTACATCTCTCTCTCTCTCTCTCTCTCTCTCTCTCTCTCTCTCTGAAAAGGGGCCTCTGTTAAAAGGCAAACGCTGTGTTGTGCTGGCTGATGGCTACTACGAATGGCAACAACAAAATGGACAGAAGCAACCCTATTTCATTTATTTCCCCCAGACCGAGGATAAAAAGGTACAACAGCAATACGTTCATATTTAATGCTGAAGTGCTCATTGGCTCTTTCATTTTCATTTAGTTTCCCTGGAACTCTTAACTTGCTTCAGAAGGTTTTGGCTTTATTATTTTGGTCAGACTGCCTTTCCCCATGAAGCAAGGCCACCTGAGGGTAGCTGTTGCTGAAGGTCATACATTTCTGTTCTCCTTTGGCCATGCTGAAAGTTCAGCATAACAGTATGTCGGAATTGTTCATCTTTTATACATGTAATTTTTATTATTTCATTTCTGAATCTCTTCCCATGAGGCATCCTGAAGCAATTTACAATATTTAAAGTGTTTTTGCATTGCCGTTCAATTCAAAATTCCCAGGACAGTTTAAAATAACTGAATTCTTTTAGTTACTAAAAGAGTACAATAGAATGCTAAAAGCAATTGCAGCAAAGTGCAGAATACATCACAGGTTAAACCCATAGGGAGAAATGGGTATTTGCCTTGCACCTAAAAATAAACAAAAAAGGCAAACCTCCCTAACGTGAGAATAGTCACCCAGAGGCAGATTTAGGCGTGTGACCAATTCATTTGCACTGGGCATGGAGTCTCAGGGTTGCCGCAACTTTGATGTAGAATGGAAGGGGGGAGGCACTGAATTTTGGCATTGCACAGGGTGCTGCTGAAATCTGAAACCCCAAGATCTGCCCCTATAGCCACACAACTCACTACAGATCATGAAGGGAACCAGAAGAAGACCTCTGAGAAGATACTGGCAGGTTGAGGTGGGAAATGTGTACTTAAGTAGCCAGGTCCCAAGCTATGCAAGGGTTTAAAGGTAAGCACCATCAGTTTGAATTGTGTGCAGAAATAGACCAGAATCCAGTGGATCTCTTTAAGAACTAATGAGTAGTGATTACAATTCCTGGTTCCCAGTTAGTAGCCAGGCTGCTTTGTTGTGAACGAAAAGCAGTCCTGAGAGTCTTCAAACACAGCTGCATGTACAACATGATACTGTAGTAAAAGGTTACCAGGCCATGGATAAGTGCAGAAAGTTTGTTTTATTCCAAAGGGGTGCAGCTAGTGTACCAGCTTCAGTGGATGAGCAGGCTCCATGCTGTTGCGACCACTTTATCCTCTAGTACAGGGGTAGCAAATGAGGTGTCCTGCAGATGTTTTTGGACTCCAACTCCTATCAACGCCAGCATTGCCAGTGGTCAGGGCTGATGGGAATTATAATTTAGTAAAATATGGAGGGCACCACACTGGCTACTCTGCTCTGGTGACATAGCTAGAGCAATGGACATTTCTAACTAGATCAAAGCATGTTGGGAGCTGACTAGAACACAAGTGGCAGAAGTCTCTAGGGAAATGTCACTGAAAGTACTCCCGTTATTGAGCTTACTCTGGTTGAGCGTAGGAAATACTTCTCTGCACCTTTGAATCCTTGGGGTCCTATCTAGAAGAGCTTTTCTGAGTGGCTTAGTGTCTATTCCAGCTTGGCCCACTGGGCGATGTTAGTGACATGTTTGTTAAGCACTTGTTAAGGATGATGTTTCTCATATCTGCCTCAGCCTAGATTCTACTGATTCAGCAGTTCAGTCTATTGATGTGTCCAGAGCACCATCTAGTCTTGGGTTAAAGAATCAATTTCACATATTGAAGTCTGAGGACTTGGAGAAAAGCAGCCTATCAGTGTTTTCTCAGCTTGTGGCCTTAGCTTATTACATCTAGTAGGAGAGGGATAATCTGGGTCTAGAAAGTAATAAAATTGCTTGTTATAAAGAGTCCCGTCTGCCTTGAAGGAGGTAGTTGTGATGCCATTCTTAAAGGAACCCTTCTTGGACTCCAATAACTGCAGTAACTATTAGCCATTTGCAAAGATGCTTATGAAGTGTTGCAATGCAACTCCCGACAATATGGGATGAAAAAGACCCTGTGGATCAATGAATGGTTTTGGCGCAGAAACAATTTTGGATAACATTCACTGGGAGAAGGACATGCCCACTGAGATTCTTCTGTATATCTCAGCAGCTTTCAGTACTATGGACCATACTATTATTCTTGATTCGTCTTCTGAGTCGGGGGCACAGTGTTTCTGTCAGGGTCAGCCCACTCATTAAGTAATGTGAAGCAGCCACCTCGGGCAACAGAAACCCCCGAGCTGATGCATGACCTGCCTCTATCGCTGGTGGAAAAGCAGCCCCAGCATCAGCACTGATTTCCCACAAGATCTTGTGAGATTTCATCTTGCCATAAATTGGCACAGATACTGGCACAGCTACTGGCACAGCTTCTTCAGTGGTAGAGGCACTGAAGATGTGTGGCGCAGGGACAGGTGGCATGGCACTTCCTGCTTTGCCTCAAGTGGCGAAACAGGGCTTGCTGCCCCCGGTTTCCGTGGTTCTGCTTGTAGCTGAAGTGCCAGTTCTAGGACTTCTGAGCAGCAAAATGGCACCTATGCTGTGGCGTCCTGCTGGGCTATTGTAAACACACAACTTATGCTCAACACTAGTGTCTTTTTTACATCAAATGAGAGTGAAATCATGGACATGTTGAATTGCTGCCTGGAGGCAGTGATAGTCCTTATGAGGCTGATGGTCCCAATGAGGGCTAACAAATTGAAACTTAATCCTGAGAAGATGGTAGTATTGTTGATGGGTGGTTCATCTATCCGGGGAGGTGTATTCAACCTTCTCTGGAAGGGGTTGTGCATTTGAAATATTTATGTTTTTTTAAAACACGATTCCTTAATTTTGCAGCTCAGCAAACCAGATATGGAAGGTGAGGATGAAGATTCAAAGGACAGGAAGTTACTCACCATGGCTGGTATTTTTGATTGTTGGGAGCCCCTTGATGGAGGAGAAACATTGTACAGCTATACCATCATCACAGTAAATGCTTCAAAAGATCTAAGTTCCATCCATCACAGGCAAGGGAGAATAGCTCAATAAGTGTTTGGTGAAAATCATATTGTACAGTGGAACTAGTTGAGAATAAGGCTGCTTAAGTCTCAATTCCCATCACTTCTGTGTACCAACTAGTGTGGCATATGATTTTTATATTATATATAAAAAATAATCACACCTCTCTCTATATATAATGTATAACTTTTAAAGGAAGGTCAGAGAAATACCCCCCCAAAAAAACAAACAAACTCCTTTGTCCTCTTAGAGAAGAGGATCTGAATAGAAGTTACTTGTTCTGAGTTTTGGCTCATAAAGAATTATGTTTATACTATATTTTGTGGTTGTCATTTGAATTATTCCAAAACGGTTACCTGGCATCGTCATTCAGACCCCTTGAAAAATAGGGCCTCTTTTGAATGATTGTGCTGCAAATTCATGCAGATCTTAGTTGCTGAATTTTCCTTCCTTTATCTCCATCTAATATTAGGAATCTGATTCTTATTGATGCTTCAACTGTGGTGTGTCGTCGTCCCCCAACCATAACATGCTGTATACTAATTTGGGTTATTCTGTTCACTGAGATCTGTATTGTTTAACTTGTTTAGAATGCCAGCTGTCTTGGATGGGGATGAGGCAATCAGAAAATGGCTGGATTTTGCAGAAGTACCCACACAAGAAGCTGTTAAGCTTATCCAACCCACAGAAAACCTTGCTTTCCACCCAGTCTCAACCATAGTGAACAATTCCAGAAATAATACACCAGAATGCATTGTACCCATTGAACTGGAGATCAAGAAGGTAAGATTTGGGATTTTAAGGTTTGGGAAAATAGGTAGGGTTATTATTCTCACGTCATATTTAACTTCAACTAGGGCTGCATTCACACCATACACTTAAAGCACCATGATACCAATCCAATCCAAATCACTTTATTGTACTAGCCATTGGCCATGACAGAGCTGAATGAAAAATAAATACAAGCTAACAGGGTGTCGCACCACACTATGATACCACTTTCAACAGTCATGGCTACCCTTAAAGAATTATGGAAACAATAGTTTGATAAGGATGCTGAGAGTTCTTCCCCTCACAGAGCTACAATTCTCAGAGTTGCCTAGGAAGAGGAATTGATTGTTAAAACACTCTGGGTATGGCTCAGGGAGGAGAAATAGGGATCAAATAACAGCTCTCAGCACCCTTAACAGACTACAGCTACCAAAATCCTTTATGGGAAGCAGATTGTTTAAAGTAGTATCACAGTGCTTTAAAGGGGTGCTCCAAAAACCATGATGGTAATAGGTAGATTCTCTAAACTACTCTCATCATTCCTAATCAACCTTTAGTTCATGATAGTGGTATACTTTTCTAATGGTCCTTGTTCTCTGTCTCCTAGGATACCAAAGTCAGTGCAAGTAGCAAAATAATGATGAACTGGTTAAAAAATAAATCTCCCAAGAAAGAAGATGATTGCGACGGCTTACCAAGATGGTCCAGCCAGTTTATCCAAACCACACCACCTAAAAAGACCAGTTCAAGCTTAATACACCAGTGGCTCAAGAAGGAAGATGGAGAACCTTCTGCAAAGCATCCCAAAATTCAGTGACTTATTGTTACTTGCACTTTATTCTTAAAACACATTTGGCAGTTTCTACTGATTTGAATTTGTGGAGTGGGATTGCAAATATTCTGACTATGTGGGCCTTGACATTTAACACTTTTTCTTGTCTGTAGTACAAACTGGGGTGTGCATTTTATGTACAGTGTTGCTATTCCCCTGCCAACCTTGGGAGAGCAATTGTACTTCAAATATGTGAGACTCTTAATATATTTCTCCTCCTAGGAGAGAAACAAAGATTCTGTAAGGCATGTTTCTTGTCCTGGTGTCCATCCAGTACACTTATTGGATTCTTTGGCGAGAACAGACCACCGTTACAACTAAGATCTCCTGTTGCAAAAATAAAAATAACTGTGTTCTTAAAGCATTATAAATATCTTCATGTTCATCTTATGTGGCGTGGGGTGTCTCCTTCACATACTTTGTAAGTATGAGCTGTATTAGTGGGAAACTGCTGTGGTGGTATGTCTGTAGCTACTGTTTTAATTATAACTGCCCAAATTTGTGATGAGAAAATGAATAGCAAAAATTCAGTACACTGGCATTGTAGAAGGAATGAGAGTTTGGGCCTATTTTTCTGACATCAGACTTACTCATAGTCGGAATTGTACATGTTTTCATGTTTTAAGCAAGGTTGCCTGTTTCAACAATAAGAGATACTTCTTTTCGTTTAGTTTCTGGCTAGCAGTGTTCTTGGCATATCAAAGGATTATTTTGTAACCTCTCTTTTTAGTACCATTGAGCTGCTCTGGTACTCTGCTGTGTTGAACAACACCTGCTAAAAATTGATCTTCTAAAAGGGACAAAGCACATGCTGTGATGTTTGTGGTCTTAAGTTTTGAATAAGCAGGTGCAAATCTTACTAAAGCTCACTATTTGAGCACAGTTTAGCAGAAGCCAGGCTCTCTGGAAAAACATTCATTGCTTTTATTTAAATAATGGTTGTAAAAAATAAAATGCGTTTCTATCTCGTTATTTTTTGTGTGCATTGCCCAATTCCAGCTAATCATCAAAACACTCGTTTAGGCTAGTGTTTACTCAGAAGTAAATCCCACTTACTCCAAGGTAAGTGAGGTTAGGACTGCAGCCTCAGAGGCACTGAACAATATGCCTGTCTTGTCTTGAAGACTACAACAATGAACATTAGCACATGAATTTGTAAGAACTCTGGCTATGTTAAGAATTAATGCTGTAAGTGTATCATGCTAGCCCATGAGTGTTTGCAACATTTTATAAGTTCAGTACAGTGACACCTCAGGTTACAAACACCTCAGGTTACAAACTCCGCTAACGCGGACGTAGTACTTTGGGTTACGAACTTTGCCCCAGGATGAGAACAGAAATTGTGCGGCAGCGGGAGGCCCTATTAGCGAAAGCGCACCTCAGGTTTAGAACGGTTTCGGGTTAGGAATGGACCTCCGGAACAAATTAAGTTCATAACCAGTCTTCGACAAAGTCAGACAATTGGTCCATGTAGCTCAGTATGGCCTCCACTGACTAGCTGCCTCTTCCAGGTTTCAGTCAGGGGTCTCTCCTAGCCCCACATGGAGATGCCAGTCATTGGACCTGGGACCCTCTAGATGCAGGGCAGATGCTCTACCTGGGCCTTTTGACACAATGTCTCTGAATGCAGTTCATACTGCCTTGTAAGTAATGTATATGAATGACTTGTGTGTTTAATAATGATACTGAAACGGCCCGGTGCTCTTTTCTTATGAGTTATGGAATATGTGTTCATCAGAAGCCTCTCCAATTCTTTCAGCTCTGGAAAGCCTCCAGAAGCATGAAGGCAAATTGTCTCTATTCTAGAGCCTTCTTACAATGTATATCACAGTGCTAAGTCCACCAAATAAATTGGTTTAGGCTTGGAATGTAAGTGTTTTGGAGGATGCCTCAAATTTCTGTACAATTATGTCCAAAGTTGGTCTTCCTACGCATGGGTTGTCCATTTCAGTAATTTAAGGAAATAATTAACCTAGCTTGCTTAGATTCTTCTTGCTTAATGTCTAGCTGGGCCTAATTTCTGCTGAACCTAGAAACGATTTCCCCTGGCCCTAGAAGCGTATCCCTGACTCAGCGGTTTCATCTGCCCCCTAAAGTCCAGTCTGGCAATTACAAGTGTTGGGGCATGCTGGAGACTTAACAAGATTTATTGCAGCAAGCATTTGTGGACTAGAGTCTACTTCAGCAGATGCATATTCATCCGTTTCATCTGGTAAAATGAGACACTGGTCCACAGAAGCTTATGCCATAACAAATCCTGTTAGTCTCTAAGTGCCACAACATTCTACTGCATTTTGCTGCAACAGACTAGCACAGCTATCCCTGTGTGAAGTCGCTGGTCTGGCTGACAATGTTTGATTTAGCATTATTTGCAGCAGGTATTTTTTTTTATATATAAAAAAACTAATTTAACTAGAATAGGAATGCTTGTGATTGGAGCATGGCCTGCTTGGCCCAACATACAGTACATCACAGAACAAGCTTGTTGGCCAGGCTCTTCTAAATACAGATGGCTTTCTCACCAGCCACAAAAACAGTAACAAAACTAGGCCCAGCATAACAGGCACAATTTGCTGATCCATGAAGGTGGCACAACTCTTACTACAATCCTAACCCCCATATAATCTCAACCTAAATCCTTCCAGATGGGTATCCCCCCTGCCCCCACCCATCAATTTAAACTGGTGTAAACCCTCACATCTTCCCCGGCAGATTTCCTGAGTTAAGACTGCTCTGCCTTTCATTTCAGGGTGACACAGTATGCTGGTTTTAAGAATGCAATGTGACTCTTAAGACATTGACTTCAAATTTCACTTCTATCCATGAACTCACTACAACTAGGTGGCTTTAGGCATGCCACTGTCTCTTAACCTCCCCTGTAAGAACTTAGCAATACTGACTTTTACTAGATTGTTAAATCATACCAGGATAACACATGCAAAGTGCTCTGTGCAATAAAGGCACTATATAAAATTCTAATTTGTTATTGCTGGGTTAGGTTTCCCCACCTCAGATGTGCCAGTCGAGAAACACTTGATTTGGCCTTTTGACTAAGGTTTGGTTGGGGTTTGGGCACAGGCTTGCCTGCCTGCTTTGGGATAGGCCAGCATCTTCTTTGACATAGAGTACTGCAAATTAGGCTTATAGAGAGAAAGCAATACCCAACCGAGAGGATCTATAAATAAGTAAGAAATGTCCTCCAGAAGGGCACCCAGATACCGCACAAATAAATGGGAGGAGGTGTGTAATCCTATCATGCTCTTCCTCCTCAGGCCCTGCCTGAGTTAAGTCCCCCTTGTGAAAAACCAGACGGCCTTAAATGTTTGCCTTTATTGCGGGTGCTGCATTTGCCCTAGGGCGGGGCGGTCGTGATCCTAAACTTGGATTTGCACCTGCGGGTTAGCCTTGAGCTGGGTTTGGGGGGCAGACCAAGTATTTAAAGCAATTCAGCTCGAGAGAGAGGGGATTGGGGAAATTATGCTAACCTTGGCTGCCTTCTCACCCAGAGGTGCGGCTGCTCCAGGTGGCATTATCAGGAGCAAGTGCAGCAGCCGCCCGCCCGCCTCCTCTTTCCCCCGGTGCATCCCTTTGTCACGCCGCGCCAGAGACCCCCCGCGTCTCCCAAAGCTGCTGCTGCTGCACATTAATATGCTTCACCAGCAGCTCTCTTTGCAGGCGGCCAAGCCTGCGCGTCTGTTGCCGCTCCAGCTCCCTCCGAGTCCGAACATGGACGACGCGAGCTCCTATGCAAATCAGGGATCGGAATACCCGCCAATAGCGGCGCGGCTCCGCGCTCGCCCCCGCCAATGGGAAGCCGCCGACAGGCTGGGCTTGGATTTATATCCTCCAGCATCTCGCGCTTGTTATTGTCACTGCAGCTGCGGCTCTCGGACGGAGCGCTCCGCTTGGCGAGGCGGCGAACGGTGAGGGGAGGGAGGTGACCCCTGCGCGCGGCGAAGCCGGGAGCGCGGCCTGCGACCTGCTCCCTGCCAATCCGCTCCGGGGTTGGGTTGCAAGGCGGGGAGGGGGCGGAGTTGCTCCGGAACACGCGTCAGGCTCGCAACCTGCGTTCCCACGTTACTTTGCTAACACTCTGTGGTGGCGGTGTTTTTCTCCAGGTCTTTCTCCTCCTCGGCCTGCTTCGCGCCGGGCCTCGGCTTGCAGCCCTTTCGGAGCGCCCCCCTGCCCGCCCCCTCCAGCCCAGCCGCCTGCCCGCGATGTCCGGCCGAGGGAAGTCCGGCGGCAAAGCGCGCGCCAAAGCCAAGTCCCGCTCGTCCCGCGCCGGCCTGCAGTTCCCGGTGGGCCGCGTGCACCGGCTGCTGCGGAAAGGCAACTACGCCGAGCGGGTGGGCGCCGGGGCGCCCGTCTACCTGGCGGCCGTGCTGGAGTACCTGTCGGCCGAGATCCTGGAGCTGGCCGGCAACGCGGCGCGGGACAACAAGAAGACCCGCATCATCCCGCGACACCTGCAGCTGGCCATCCGCAACGACGAGGAGCTCAACAAGCTGCTGGGCGGGGTGACCATCGCCCAGGGCGGGGTCCTGCCCAACATCCAGGCCGTGCTGCTGCCCAAGAAGACCCAGAGCTCCAAGAAATGAGCCCGGCCCTGTTTCCGAAGGGGAACAACAAAGAATGGGCCGGTGATGTGTCCCCGCCACCCCACCCGCAGGATCCGACCCAGCGGGCACCGGACATTTTCTCCCTTTTCTCTCTGCTTCACTTGGAGCAGCCAGCGCCGGGCAGATCTCTTCCTCTCCGCCTCCTCTGCCTTGGCGCAGCCATCGCTGGGCCGGCTCTGCGCCTCCTCTCCTCGCTCTGGTCCTCCCTGTCCGCCTGGCGCTGCAGCCGCCGGGCTTCCCTCTCGCCCTCGCCACCCTCTTTCCTTGGCACTCCTGCCCTCTTTCAGTCCCAGGGATTGGTGTGGGAAGAGCAGGCTTAAATCATTTTTCTGTGTCGCGAGAAGGGCACGTGCTGCGGGCCTGGTGGCTGCCACCTAGTGCCCTGCAAATTGATTTCTGTATTATTTTTCCTCCCTCTGTCTCTCTCTTCTCATTCTCCCTCCCATCCCCATGATTTATCCCCTAATCTGCTACCCTGAAGCTGCTTATACCTGCAGCATCTGTGCAATTAGCTTTTCTTTTCTTTTCCCTCCCCCTCCCTCCCTTAAAGCCACTGTTAATTTTTCGGGAAAGGGGATTTGGAAAGAAAGGACAGTTTTGGAACTAGAAGAATGATTTGTGCATCTTGTTTTTCTTGCATTGGGACTAACTGGAAGAACGGAAGTCACGAAGCAAGGTGGAAGCTGCAAGCCTGCCCTAGGGAGGCAAGGGACTTGGCAGTGGGCCACCATTTGTGACCATGGAGGCTTTCTGCATCCTGTCTGTGCACCTGTCAGGGAGGGAGGATGAAGGCAGAGCCTCTCCATTCATTACTGTTCTGCACAAATATTCCGTCTACTCTCTTAAAACTGCTCTGTCACGGAGCTCAATACAGTGATGGATCTATCTACCTGTTGTTGCTGCACATCCCCATTCAATGTGATCACAAACTTAATAAAATGTTGGAGGGGGGAGGGGAGAAAAGGAAGCTGTCAGAAAAACCGTAATGTGAAAAGAGCCACTACTCTTGTTGAGAGAAATATTCATCTCTTCTCAAGTGCTAAGCTTTTTTTCTCCCCCTTCCTTGTTTGCTTTATGATGAGGTATTGTGTCACTGTATTTGTACTCCATTCCTAATTGTGTGCTCGTGTTAAATTTTGATTTTATTGTTGTTGCAAACCTTTTTTTAAAGAAAGGGGGAATCTAGTTTATGAAGTTAACAGCCTTGGGCTGGAGGCAAACAGTTGTGTGAGTGAGTGAGTGAGTGTGTGTGTGTGTGTGAGAGAGAGAGAGAGGGGGGAAGGTTATCGGACAGTGTCTTCGGTTTCCTAAGGTATACACATCTTGTCCTACTGTCACTTCTGGCCAAACATGCTTGGGGTAGGGTTTTGAATGATGTGAATCATTTGGGCCACACACAAAAGTGAGATGAGTGCACAGGCCAAGAACAGTAATTGTCTTTCAGACCAACTATTCGGAGAGGGAGGGCTCCTATTATCTATCTCTAGCCTTGATTGGTGCTGCATTCAGATCTTCTGAATGCGCTTAGCAGCTTAGCTGGAACCGCATTTTAAGCAAGAGTTCTTGGATTTAGGTCATATTTTTGTCCTGTTGACGTCAGCAGAGCTAAAATCAAAAGTATTTTAGTATAATGGCTTTTGTGGTTTTTCAGCCTAAGTGATGGTAGGTCTGGAGGTGCCTGAAGCTTCCTTGAGACAGAAGCAATTACGTTGTATTGTCTGTTCTGTCCTCCTCCCACCCCCATTCCCTTTTGGATTATTAATTCTGTTATAGACCTTTCCCCAACGATGGAGGTTTGGCATTCTGTATCTTTGTTTTGCACTTTAAAACTATACACAGTTTTTCCCCTGTTCAGAATTTCACGCCTGGTGCATAAAATAGAGTGCAATTGTGGCATCTGTTTAATTGTAATCCTCAGTGGATTAATTTTTGGGATTTGGGTTTTTCTAGGGGAAAAAACTGAATTTATACTAGAGTAAAATATCTAGTTAATGTGTTGGTTTACTAAATTGGTGTTTGGGTAACGTATGAGCATGGAAGATGGCCTAGCTAGTCCTGTGGTGCATAGTAGCTATGGTACTCTAGAGATGGTATCGGAGCCAAATCTTGCTTGCTTGCCTAGGTGAAAAGTTTATAGAACCACGTGCATGCAGCAGTGTCTGGGCTATTGAGCAAGTAGACTTGTAATATTTATGGGCAACTGTGTATGTGCTGTCAAGTAGCATGTGTTCAACCTATCAAGTGAGGTGTAAATCTGTGGATGAAGTATTGTCTTGCTCTGGTTCGACTAATAAACGCATAGGTTAGTGGAACTTGGATGCTTTAATACCTGGGTAATGAAGGTGGTTTGTTCACTCCTTAGTGATACCGGAGAGGTAGAACCTTGATCTGCTCCTGTCTGATTTGTCTTGCCTATCTCCCACTGCAGACCCAGGAAAAAAAGACCCATTGTTTCTAAGTTGCTATCTCATTCCTCTGGCACTGGACCAGTGTAAGGCTCTTGCTTTCTTCTAGAATGAACATGGATTGCATAATTGTGGGGAAGAGATTGTTTAAATGCAAATAACTACTGAAAAATAGGAAATGAGAGTTTGTGTTTTTCTGTCTTATTATTTCAAGATCAGTATTTTGTGTTCTGTCAAAAGACTGCTTTGTATTTATTAGAAAATGCAGAACTTGTGATACTGGAAAAGTGCAAAACCAATATTCTTATTAAACCGATTCAGTCTTGAATGCACGTCAAAGATGTCTCTTGTCAACACATCACTTAATTAGCTGTTTGGGGGTTACTGAGTCCATGAAAGGTTTTTTTGTGGTTTGAGGTCTGTAATGTGCATTTATTCCCTACTGTCCTGAAAATACTGCTGGAAGAAAGGGAAGGTGGGCAGTGGAAGGTCAAAGGTTTGGTCTAGTAACTCTGACTTGACTGCAGTGTGAGCCATCTGTCTTTCAGCTCCCATGTTCCCTCTTTCTATCTAATAGCAAATTAAATGGTGTTGATTAATAAATGGGAAATTAATGTTCGTATCAAATCTTAAAGCCCATTTTGCCCAAAGTATCCTTCTGTGGTCCTGGCAGTGGAGCCCATTTTTAAAACATTTATCTGACTTGCACAACCAAATGCCTCATATCTTCCTCACTTCTCTGGCACCCAAATGGCACCCTGATCCCAAGATATTCCCTTGCATGCAGAGAACTCTGCACAGCCCAAGGTTTCCCATTAACTTACATTAGAAGTGCACTGGGTTATTCCTGACATCAGTGCAACCCATGCTCTATTAATCTGTGTTAGAACCCATCAAGCAGTTATTTGGTGGTGCCCATTCAAAGTTGACATGACTTGCTTCCGAAAAGTGCTAGCATCGGAGTATGAAGTCCTGAGGAAGCCAGTTCAGTTGGATGCAGTATTCAAAGTAAATGGGGACAGGATTAAGCTGTGCAGTGCATTTCTTGCTGGTAGAACTTGCATTGTGCTCTCATGTATTCTCTGTTCAGAATTAATGAAATCTGTTTAGCAATTAACAAATATAACCTTCTTAAGCCCTCATCGCATGGCCCCTTGGTATATTTTAATTTTAACTGTGTTTTAAATGTAAAGCTGAAGGGAAGAGAACATGATTAAATCAACAGATGGTAAAAAGTAATATTAGAAAGGGATGTCAGTTCTACAAAGGGGCTTCACTGTGAAGAGCTTAGGGTCCCATATGTGAGCATCTAAAAGGCTGGTGCTTCCCTGCAGCCCCTCCCTTTACTACCCTTCTGCCATCTGTTTATGTCAATGGGTAGAGCTGGTGTGTGGGGTTGTGAAAACTTAAATGACACTAAAAGAAAACAATTGCTCTTGTCCAGAAATGGCATTCCTTACAATAGCAGCTAGCTTGCTCTTCTATCTGTGGGAGTCTATAGTTAAGTTTGCAAGTAACACTAAGCCAAACCATGAATGTATCGATGTCCAGACTGCCAGAGAGGAGAGATTGTGGCTGCTTTGTTCTTCCTCTGAGCTAAGCTGTGATTTAGTTTAGCACATTATCCAAACCCAGACTTGTAGTTTGCCTTGCTCCAGACAAACAAGAAACTGTAAACCAAAAGCAAACCTTGGAGTTTACTGGAGCAAGACAAGCCATGAGCCTGGCCTGCATTTGGATGACATGCTAAGCTAAACCATGACATAGCTCACAGGGGCAGGAGCTAAGTGGCTATGGTCTCCAGGAATCCTGATGGCTTAGCATGGTGTATGAACTGTGTCTGTATATTGCTTGAATTAATGGCACAAATGTGAGTTTTTCTGCCCTGTCATAAGTGTCACCGTTAACTTTCCCCTTTAATGCAGATGGAAATGAATGAATGGTGGAAAATAGATTCAGGAAGAGAATGCAGGTGGCAAAGTGTGTGGAAAAGCTTAGAAGTGACTTGAAAGCAGCAGCCTTTATATCCATTTTGGAAGATAACTTTGGATTGAGGGTGAAGACAGGAAGTCTTGGTGATCGGTCAATTCAAATGTACAGTATTGCTTAGAAGCATAAGTCATTGCAATATATGAGGATCTTGGTGAACAGCATTAATGACCACTCTACAGAGTACCAAAAAATAAAAATTTATTCTAAATTTATTAGATTCCCAATAGTGAACTGAACAGCCATCTTTAACAAACTGGGGATATGCATTTAAAAGGCCTTCCATCCATACTATAGAATACTGTTGAAATCTGATATGAGCCGCAGCAGATAGGTCAGGACTAGCACTGTGTTGCCACACGATGCCTCTCAACACATTATTTAATATAGCACTTGGATTGAAAAATGTGCATCTATAATCCTTAAAACAGTTTAAGGTAGTGAACACAGAGCTTGTGTAAAAGGAATGAGAGATCTTCAACATAAAAATGTCTCCAAACTCCCAGCAGACTCTGCTACCTGCTACTCTTCTGTTTGAACCTGTAGCCTGAGAGCCTTGCAAATTATAGAAGGGGGTGCTGTGGTTTTTTCCCTCTGCCTATTTTTCACGTGCCTGTTTCTGCCTTTTGGAAATATCCTTGCAGGGAATTAGGGTAATTATGGCTCCTTTTGGAAAAGGTGAAGTCATTTAATGTTTTCCTTCTCGGGGAAACATATCATGCTGCTACAGTGGTAGTTGTAGCTATCTGCCCTTAGGTATAACAGGGGTAGCCAGAGTGGGGCCCTCCAGGTGTTGAACTACAACTTCCATCAGCCCCAGCCAGTAGTTCCAAGGTAATGGATGGTGGGAGTTGTAGTTCAACAGCTGTAGCACATGGTGTTCTTTTCCCCCCTGTGTACAAAGCCCATAGCTTAAGTGTGGCTTAGTTGGATGCTGCTGGTTAAAGCTTGAAACTGTCGGATCATTCTGGAATGGACAAAGTT